GAGCCATTCTCTGCTGCTTTTCCAGGTGCATTAGCAGGGAGCTGGATTGGAAATGGAACTGCCAGGACTCAAATGGTCACCCATATGCATAGGATGCTTGTGTCATAGGCTGAGAATTAGCTTGCTATGCCACGAGGCCAGTCCTTAGAAGAGATCTCTTATGGAGACCAATAGGATCAAATTTTCTTTATAGGAATTTAGTTGTGGGAGAGATCTTGTGTTGTATCAGCTATGATGACTTCATCCGTAGGGGTAGGTATTAATGATTATTTGAATATTTTCTGTTCTGCCTCTAATGGTAAGATTCTCATAAAGTCATTTTCTTGGTGTGCTTAAAGTGAACAATGTATTATTTCATGTCCATCTTGCCTGTCTCACAGCAGGCCACATGATGGAAGAGACTGTGTGTTTGTCCTGTAATGTGCTTCAGCACCTTACAGTGAATGGCCAAAATAGTCCTTGGTGATGCTTGACCCTGTATTTCTGGTTTTCTGTAAGTGAAAAGAAAACAGTAAGAAAAATGAGAGGAAGGGGAATTACAGCTGCAAATTAAGCCAAGGACATCACAAGGCCAGAACTTGTCCTCTGCTTGGAGGGGCCTTCTTAGAACCAGGTGCTTTCTGGGAAACTCAGATGACCAATGTAATAAAAATTACAAAATGCAAACCAACTTCCTTCTCCTTGGATGGCAATGTTTCAGCACCCTAAAAGATCTTTTGAATTACCAAGCTGTAGACAACTGTCTAGGCTGCTTTGCACATAGGCAAGTGTTACACTGCTGGGAGAAAAGCCAGCAGCTGGAGGGCATCCTGGGCCTGGGTAATGCCAGTATAGTTGCCTATTTTATTTATTTTTTTAAAGATATGTGGGGATGGCAGGGAACACCAGGCTGGGACATGCCACCCTTGCCCCCAGGTGAGTGTGTGTGTGAGAGAGAGAAAGAGAGTGTGTGTGTTGGGGGGGGGGGGGAGTGCTCAGGGAAAGGGGTTTGGGAACATGTTGGAACAGGAACAGCTAAGGGCATGTTTGACAGGCAGGAATGGCTTCTGGGGGCTTCAACAAACCAGGCCACCGCACTCACAGTTACACGAGGAAGATGAGATAGGGTGAGGGCCAGGCCAAGGCATCCACCCACGTGGGAGACTTAAGGGGTTGCCTGGCTGGGCTGGGCTACAGTACCCACCATGAGTATTAGAGCAGAGTGGACTGTGTCATCAGGCTGGGCCACGACAGAAACAGTTCTGGGGGCAGATTCTATAGGGCAATTGTGGACTTGCCTCTGTGGACTACAGCATCTGTCAGTTTGTACTAGAGCTGGGACTGGAAACGGGTTGAGCCAGGATGGACTGCAGAATTCACCTGATACTTGCGGGAGCCAGGGCTGGAAGGAGGCTAGACTGGGCCAGACTGAATGAAGCACCTGCTGGCACATGCAAAGGCCAGGACTAAGGATGCCAAGCAGGGATGCAGCACCCACCAGCATGCATGAGGTCTGGAGCTGGGAGCAGACCTAATACGGGAATTTGAAGATCTTCCCTGCTAGGTTGCAGTTACTGCTGGCGAGCACAATAACCAGGACTGGGGGAATGCCAGGCCAGGTAAAACTGCAACACTTGTCAGCATTTGTGTGGACTAGGTCTGGGGGCAGGCCAGGCTAGGCCAGGCTGTAGCACCAGTGTCATGCACAAGAACCAGGACAGGGTTTGGATCACACCTGCCTGAGCTAGGCTCCAACACCTGTTAGCGAGAGCTGAGACTATGGGCAGGCCAAGCCAGCACACACAAGACCTAGGCCTGGTAGGTGGAACTTCAGGAACTCCTCTGCTGGACCACTGTTTCTACTGGTGACCATGAGAGCTGGGACTAGAGGAAGGCAGAGCTACAGCACCTATCAGCTGGAATGTAGGCCTTGCCTGGGAGTGGGCCAGGCTGGGCTAGGTTGCAGCACCCACTGGCATGAGAAAGAGCCAGAATGGGTGTAGGCTAACTGGGCTAGGATATAGCACCTGCTTGGCAAGTACTGGGACTGGGTACCAATCATGTGAGGCTAGACCATAGTACCCTTGGGAGACAGATGTTCTGTGGCTGCAAGTGAGCCTAGTAGGGAAACTGTGGATACTCTTCTGCTGGGCTGCAGCTCCTGCTGGTGAGAATGAAAGCCAGGGCTTGGGGCAGGCCAGGCTGGTCAAAGTGACAACACCCATTGGTATATGTGTAGGTTGGGTCTAGGGGCAGGTCGGACTGAGCTAAACTGTAGTACCCATGGGTATGCATGAGAGCTAGATGGGATGTGGGGTGGACTGAGCTAGGCCCTCAACATATGCTGGCATACACAAAATCCATGGCTGAGGGTGGGTTTGGTGGGGGTTATTGGAGGTCACTCTGACTAGGCTATGGCACCCACTGCTGTGTGTAAAGACTGGGCCTACGGTGGGCAGAGGTGGGCTAAGCTTCAGCACCCATCAGTTCGCATGAGAGAATGGGGTTGGGGACAGAATTGACCAGGCAGCTGCATTCACCAGTATGTGCACTGGCTGGTGCAGGTGACAGACCAAATCTGATCCTACACTGGTTGGTGTACATAAGAGTCAAGTCTGAGGCGACTACTCAACTAGACCACTGGATTCAAACCCCAGCCACAGGGAAAAAAAAAATTACAATATATGTGGTCTGACCTTGGAGTGTGTTCTAGGACTGGGTCGCCTCAGCAGCTGATGCCTGTGCAGTGGACAGCACACCCAGATGCTGTTCATTGCACATGGACATGACAGCCAGATCATCTAGGCCAGCAAAGGATGTGGAGTTCTTTGTCACGGGATGGAAAGCAAAACAGGTTGGACCACTCTCCTCATCAAGCTCTGGAGCATGTTCCTGGGTCTGTGCATGCACAAAGATGGACTTGGTCAAGCAACAGACCTCGGAAAGATTTCCTCAACCCTGGTGCAACAAAGCCGACAATGTCTCAGAACCATCAAAACCACTCAAGTAACTCCCTCGGGACATTCGTCCCCACACTGTGATCTCTAAGGCGTCACAAAGGACCATTCCCTATGATCAAATGCCCATTTAACAGCAAAGAACAAACCCTCCCCTTTCCCACCAGGGTACACGGGAGGAAAAAAGAAAAAGGAAACATTTGTTCCTCTCACCGTCTTCCATACCTCAGCCCCCCCCTCCACCTCATCGGAGACCCACATGGGTATGATCTCTCCCAGCTATGTGAACAATATTGAAAATAAAAGTTTTAAGCAACAGCTTTTGAATTATTTTGGATAATCTTCTGTTTAACAAATGTAGAGTGTTATTTCTCTCTCTCTCACCCACACCCCAAAGCTAATGAAGATTTACAATAAACCTAAAGTCAGGGCTAGCCATGGTGGGACTGCGTATTGGATTGCCTTTCCCTTGACTTGAACATCTTTCACTGCTTATATCTGTTGTTTTCTAAGTTATGATGATAATCCTGGAACCACAGAGAGGACACAGATACTTTATTTAGCACTCGACTGAAATGTAATATGACTTCAAGGTTATTCTACGTCAAAATATAGTAACTAGCTACTGTCTCTCCAGTGGAGTGGAAACGCCTTAGATGAGAGGGACTTCAAAGCAGCCAACAGGATGGAAGACATGGCCAAAGAAACTCTCAAGAACTTCAGGGCATGTGGAAAGGGTGGAATTTCCTAATCCGGAGATATTTAGGAAGAGGGTAGAGGTCCATTTCCCTATGACTAGAAAAGTGAAGGGATAATTCTGTGTAAATGATAGCCCCAGATTTCTTTTAAAATACATATTCCATTTAGAGTAGCAGTAGTAGACTTCAGGAAAACCATACAGTGTAACTTCCGCCGGGTCTACTGAGCTGGGCTCCAAGCTAGATCTTGAGTTGCTGTGGTGTTTGACACGCAGTGGGAGAGGCTGGCCCGTGGGCCTTCATAAGCCCCTCTGACGTTGTGTGTAAGACAGTTTAGGTAAGCACTAAATCTTGCTGAGAATGGTACCTTTCCAGGGAGGAACATTAACGCTTAACTACATGGTTACCGTGTCTCCTCTAAGTAGTGTATCCACCACTACCACCAGCTGGGCAAAATCTGGGTAAGGTAAGTAAAAATTGGTTCTATACTGCTATAATATGTTTATTCCTAATGCTTTTTTCCCTCATCAGTTCCACCAGGGGGCGATAGAGACACGATGGGTAGGTTTCATCCTCATTGGGATCTGTTTTGCCACCTGCAAGCTGAAGCTGCCTCCTCATACAGTCTCAGCTTCCAGCTTGCCCTGCAAACATCTGAGGGTAAGAGTGTGTGGAGGGGGAACCACCTGAACATAGCATTTGCTGCAATTGAGAAAGGGAACAGATCCGCCAGGTTCAGTGAAGACCCTGCAGGTGGGCTTGGGTGTTAGGATCTTCCCTGCTTAATCCTGCTCTGCTGCCTGGCACATCTCTGCCTCTGTGGTCCCCACACAGTGTCCTGGACATGGGCCAGCAGAGAATCAGAAAGGTTTGGCACTTCCCCAAGGTCACTCAGCAAGTAGATGAAGTGATTTGAACTCTGACTCCAGCCTGTGGTATTCTTTTGTGGAGACCATTTTGTTTCTCCCTTCCCCCTAGATTTCGACAGATGATCACTCAGGATGAGAAACATTTGGTTTTTACTTGATTTCCTGACATGCGCCCTTTGCAACCCAGAACATTCTTTTGGGTACCTGTGGTCACAAAGGTGGCAGCAGCTGCCACATGCTTGGCCCATAGCGCTGGCCTGGTGATGGCCCTCCATCACAGAAAGTCCCTTCCCCATATAGACTCTGGTTTTCCACTGGCTTCTTCCACTACTAAAATAAAAAGGTGCTAATCCCTCAAGTATCCAGCACCAACAGGTGCCGTGGCCTCCCAGCTGGGAGGCTGTTCTGCCGCTGTACACTCTTGCCCTCTGGCTGCCTCACCTCCAGGTTGCTCCCGCTGACCTGCTCTGATGACTGCTGAGCTTGTCCTGCCAGAAACCCCCGCTTCACAGTCGCTGTTGGTTTCTGGCTAACTCTCCCACTAAACTGGCTTGCTTGCTTACAGCACAGCTGGTGAACATGAGCAAACAGCACGGGCCTTGGTCTGTGCTGGCATGACAGCTCCTGAGCTCTCGCTGAGCTCCTGCTGCTCACATTACCCGGCATTAGCCCCACAGATGCAGCCAAACGGCTGACTTTCCTATGTCCTTCAACCACAATGTGGGTGCTCCAGAAAGAATTCATAACAGGTGCCTGTAGAACGTATTTGTGAGACAGGCTAGTGTGCGTTTGTGATCCTGCTGCAAAGAACAGGGTGTAACACTGTAGCATAAAACGCACAGTCCAGGGCACAGCATGAACCCCTGGAACCCTGACACCTCCCTGCTTTCATTCATATCCCCCCACTTCCCCTCAACAAGCTCCTAAACAGGCATCATCTTCACATGTGTTTGCTCTGGGTGCCAGGGCTACCTGAATGGATTTTATCTTTCACACATTCTTAAGTGGGTCTTCTTCTGAATCGGAAACCATCAGAGCCTTAAAGGGAAAGAACTGGGCCCAAGCAGCCACAATAGGTTTGAAAATTGGTTTCAATGTTAAATTCGTACAACCATTTAAATGGTGGCTTTCATACATAGGACTTGTAAGAAATAAAGAATAACAGGAGACCAGTTACAAATCTGGGGTTGTCTTAGAAACAAACAACAAAAAAAATCACAAACTACTTCAAGGAAAGCAACTTTGTATAACAATCAGGAAAAGACTTGCTGTTTAAACTTTCCAAACATGAGGCAAAGTGTTTTCAAGAAAGAACAATGATTTTTGCACAGGGGAGAAAAGAATGCCTGATCCTTTTTCTGTAACAAATGATCAAGAAAGTACAGGTAAGAGGGGCCTTCCATCTCACCAGGAAAAATAAATGTGTGTGCGCACCTGCAAATGCTGTTTTCTGCTCACCTCTTCCTCCATGCGGCAGAGGCGCTGGACCAAGACGGGACTGCTCCGTGGTGGAGCTGGCCAGCCAGGCTGCAGAAGGAGTGCTGGGCCATGGGGAAGCTTTTCTGCACCTTGGTGGGGAGAGATGAGTCAGGCTCTGCTGTGCCCTGTGCAATGCGAAAGGAAGAGGAAAATGTGCCCATCCTGAGTCACTCGTGAGAATTTCCGGGAGAACATGTGGATCCCCAATCTAGACAAAGGTATAGGCAAGGGGCTCAATCAAGAAGCCACAGCAGAGAGCCCCTTTTGGAACACTCATTCCTTCCCAAGAGGGGGTGATATGGGCACAAGATGGAGGGGTGCGGATAGAAGGGCCCAGTATATGCTGCTCCCTTGGCTGAGTGTGCATCAGGTGAGGTCTGTCCACTTGATGCTGATGCCACTGGACTCTTAGCACTACTGGCCATTTTTGCCTTCTGTCTCAGCTGAGTTGAAATCGGCTGAGTAACAGGGCCTTTCCAAGAGTGATGGGTCAACACACATCCGCGAGTTGAAGACACTGAGGAATAGTTAAGCTCCCAGGCACAAGACCCAATGAAAGAGGTGTGTATGTGGAACCAAGTCCAACCTCAAGTCCACTAATGACATCAGGGACCTGGGGCAGGGAAGAAACAGGGTGCCTTCCTTCTGAGGTGGCAACTAGCTGATGAGTGAACCGGCTGGGTCCGCCACACCTTTCTTCTTGGAGGAATCTCTTCCCCTGTGGGCCTTAGGAAAGTGAGCTGGTGCTTTGAGACACATGGAGCAGCAAGTGTCACACAGATGGCAGATGGCCACGTTGACATTTCTGACTGGGAATCCGAGGAGCTGGCCTGTTCCAGGCCTGTGGCAGCTAGCAAAAGAAGTTCAGCAGCAATTTGGCACTGCCAGCCGGTCTCAGTGGGAGGGTGGGATGGCTTCTGATAAAGTTTCTGACTGCATTGTAGATAGTTGGGGACAGGTGCCTTTCGGTGCCTGTGTCCATAGCTGTGGTCTCCCTTCTGCCCACCTACCCACCCGCCTGGAGGATTTGCTCTCCTCTTCCCCAGCCACCATCCTGGTTGTCTGCAGGTGGAGCAGAGCCCTGGCAGTGGTCAGTTTGCTGTGGTCACCGTAGTTTGCATGAAGCAGCACCAAGGTGGATGGCTCCCTTGCTCCCTCTTCATAGCTGGGGGTTCAGAAGACAGGGATCTTGTCCCTCCGCACCACATCCAGGTCATCATCCAGAGTCAATAACACCTGCAACAAGAGACACACCCAACTGCAGGTCACCCCCTGCAGGCTGGAAAGCTCCATGTCTCCTCAGGATTTTCATCTCTTCCGCAGTCCTCCACAGCGGCTCACTCCTAACACACTTCTAATAACCATATATAGTTCCTTTAGCAATAAACTCAAACATCTATGAGAGTTTCAATGCACTGTTCCAGATGTTTGAGACATAGCTCAGAACAAGAGACAAGCATCTCCCTCTACAAAGAGATTTCAATGGAAGGAAGACTTTAGATGTGAAACAAGCGAGTCAACTATCATGTGCTAGACAGTAACACATGCCAAGGATCAAAATGAAACCAGGGAGATTAAATAGGAAGTGTGTGGTGGGGAGAGGCAAAAGTTTTGACAAGGAGGTTTGCACAGCCATGATCACTTAGGGTTGGCACATTGGTCTAACGGATCATCCTCTGCCTATAACACCAACATCCCATATAGACACAGGTTTGAGTCCTGGTCGTTCCACTTCTAATCCAATTTCTTGCTAATGGTCTGGGAAAGCAGAAAAAGATGGCTCAAGTCCTTGGCATCCTGCACCCACGTGGGAGACCTGGAAAAAGTTCCAGGCTCCCAAGTTTGGACTGACATAGGTCTGGCCATTGCAGCCATTTGGGGAATGAACCAGTGAATGTAAGATGTATCTCTCTGTCTCTTCCATTCTCTATTTCTAACTTTCAAATGAATAAATGAATCTTTTTTGTTTTTTTAAAGTAACACTGGGGTTGAGATCTAAAGGACATGAGGTCTTGTGACATGATATAATTTCATAAGGAAATGACCCTTATTTTCCATCCCTAGTTCTATTTCTATTCTCTTCTCATGGTACCTTTCGCTCCACATTTAAATAAAATGTCACCATTTACTAAAGGATTCATAATGAAGAAGAGGAGAAGGCAGCATAAGGCACAAAGAACAGGCCTGAAATGGAGAAATTCCAAGGAGAAATGGCCACACATTATGGCATCCCAGGAAGAAGGAACTTGCCTTCAAGAAATGTTGACCAGCGCGTGCTATTAGCTTCTCAAATTTATTGCCTTTGGGACACTGTGGCAGAAGAACAAATTAGGACTTGCATTATGCCCTAACAAAAACTTACAAGCCAGATGCACTGTGCAGGGCAAACATCTGTTTGGTGAGTAGTGATGCAACTTGTTAGCTACACTATGGTCTCTCTTACCAAAAACAAAAAGTATAAGGAAGATTGCTACATATTGCTTAAACTTCCCTAACTGGCCACTAGGGGGCAGCCCCAGCCCACTCTTGAGGTTATAGGATCCAGTGGACAATGCTGAAAGTGGGCTGCGTAGGGAGCCAAGGAGTCTAACAGCATTGCTCATGTTCAAGGGCACCTGTGGACACCACTGACTTCTACCTTGAAAAAGTCCAGGTTAGGATGAAGCGATGCTGGTAGTTGTTTCTCGGGGTTCACATGAGCATGTGTGCCTTTGAGGAAATGACTTGGGCAAACAATAGAGGGATTGCAGGACACTCTGGGCACACAGGCTGGCCAGAAGGCTTCCCTGAGCCACTCTGGGTACCATAGAATGTTTGTACAGCATTCAATTAGACTGAAGGAAGGGCAGAAATGTGAGAGTAGAACAAGAAGGAATGGCCCAGTATTACAGGAGTCTTAGTTTAGTCAAGAGTCCAAGATTATGGGAGTCAAAAGTGGTTCTTGGGGGGAATTGCAGGCATGTGGCTCTACAAACCAACTCCATCTAAATATGCCAGGCAACTTGTAGAAAGCAATTTCATCCCCTATGTGTCTGAAAGAATTGAAGAATCAAGGGAAAATGAAAGTAAATCTCTGACCCAAGGACCCAGTGTAAGAGAAAGACAGAAGCTGGCTCACATGAGGGGCTAGAATTAGGGAAGACTATGAAAGAGGATATCAGGACAAGCAGGAGGATGTAAAGAGGGAAGAAAAGTCCCCACACAAAACCAACTCACCAGGAATGAGAAAAACAGAGCAGTCGCAGAGAGGAAGTGCCAGATGTCATGGTCATCAAAGAAATCCAGCAGGACGCACTCACGGTTCTTCTCTCGGGACTCGGCGGGGGTTCCCTGCAGGATGGTGAGGCAGGAGGTAAGCATGTTCTCAGCTTGGAGGACTGAGCACTAAGCAAGCCACCCCAGTGCTGCCAGGGGGCTGGCTCAGAAAGTCAGCATCCGAGCACACACACGCATGCCCCAAGACTTGGACTCAAGCACTATGGCAGCCAAAAAGGTTCAACCCAACCGTCCCTGTACTGATGATCGGACACATCCAGTGTTGTGCAGCCATGCAATGGGATGGATCTCAGCTAGCTAAGGACATGGAATACTGAGGCATGCCACAGCATGATGACCCAGGAAACAGGGTAAGGGGGAGAGACACCAGCCACAAAGGCCATGGGGCTGCCCTTCTGGGAAATGTGCAAAAAAGGTACATCTATAGAGACCCAAGGTAGACCATTAGTCTAGGCTGTCAAACACAAAGGGATGAGGGAGAAATGAGGAATGGCCATTTATGGATATAGGGCTTTTTCCTTGGGTGCTCAAAACATTCTGTAAGAGACTGTGGTGAATGTGCTGTTGGACAGCTGGGCCATCTTCTCAGGTGCTTCAGGTTGTGCTAATTTCCTAGCCTCTGGATGGATGAGGAGGAGGATGAGAAAGAGATGCTACACTTTAAGGTTTGGGCACCTGTTCATTATCCACTGGGCATGGGATCTAATACCACCACAGCACCAAGATCAAGTTTGTGTGTCTCTAGGGCTGATGTGTGTATGAAGGGCACCCTGGGGAAATGACAGCCTTGAGTCAGCTATGAGCATGTACATGGGGCTCTCCCAAACAACCCATATCAGAGAAAGTGCTCCCATCAGAGCCAGGTCCAAAGGCAGGATGGAGAAAGAACTCCCTAGGGAACTGGCCTCTTACCTCCCAGCTGCTGAGATTCTGGAAGAAGAAGTAGAGCGCAGCTGCCCACACCACGGCAGTGGCCACGATGCAGAAGAGTGGCAAGGGGAGGACCCTCTCTGAGCTGCGCAGCTGTGAGGGGACACATAGAGGTCACCAAGCTGGACCTCCGGCCATGGCGTTGGCCGAAGCTCCGCTGGCTCCCAAGCTCATGCACCCTTACCTTCATGATAATGTAGAAGGCCAGATAGAGCAGCAGGTTGCAGATGAAGATGCCCAGCATGTAGGACGCAAAGTCCCTGGGCCTGTAGATCAGTCCAAAGAGGGCGCTGAGGACATGAGAAGAACGGGGGGATTGAGGATAGAAGGGTGGGTTTGAGCATTTGTTAATGGCTTTCTTATTTCTTGAACTCCCATTGGGAGTGTTAAGAACAAACCACTTATACACACAAGTAACTTCCAACTTGACTGAATCCTTGAGAATATTCACTTCTAGTAACTTTCTAAGGGAAGTTCTTACAAAGGGATGGACTTCAAATAATCCTTAGTCCTTTCACGTGGAGAACTGTTCCTGGAATCTTTCCTTACATTCACTGTGATAAGCAACACAGCGATGAACAAATGTCTGCCTTCAGACAGAATGTATTTCATGGTTTGGATTTAAGAAGAAATCTTCTGAAACTTGGAAACCTGCACAACTGCTATACAACAATTAAAAATATAAAAATGGAAAATCTATTACTTAAAAATGGAAAAATATATCCATTTCCAAATGCAAAAACATTTTAAAGGATTAATTGCTTAAACTAAATGACTAGAAGTGAATTATCTCAGTATTTGCCGTTATGGTTTACAGGTTAAAAGTTGCCCCAAGTCGCCGTGTTAGGTCCGGATATCCGGGGAGGGGCCTTTGAGAGCTGGTAGATGCTGCAGAGGGTGGGGCTTAGTGGGCTGGAGCTGGTCCTTAGGTTCCTGGGGGCACATCTGGAAAGGCAGTTCTTGTGTAAGTTACTGAGTTACTACGAGAGGGTTGTCCTAGATGTCTGAACTGGGGCCCACCTACTCCATTCCCTGGCTTACACAGGGAACACACTAAGTTGTCCACTGCAGGCCTCTTATCACAGCCCAGATCATGACTTTCACACTTGGAAGGGTGAGTCTTTTCTACCTTAGGTAGAATACCTCAGGTATTCCCACATGTAATAGAAAAACTGTGCTAAAATGCTTGGCTTAAAACACATTACCATATTTTGGGTGTCTGAATCTTTGACACTCAAGTTCATTTTGGTTAGGGTTTCATCTGAATTTTGTCTCAAATTTCTATTTAGTTATAACAAAACTCCTAATTAGATAACTCTCCCTTTTCTCCTTCTTTTGAAAAGCTTGCTTTTCATAAAAAATACACATTTGTATGGGTATTTTTAAAAATCTATATCTACACCCATACCTAGCTCGTTTTTGGCCTATCCATGAAAAGTTTATTATTGATCTACCCGGGGGATGGAGAGCGTTGGTGGAGAGCTCCCACTGGAACTTCCATGGGCCAAAGCCGAGAGCTGGGACTGCAATTCAGATGCCTCACATGGCTGACAAGAACCCGGAACTCACATGTTCTGACAAGAACATGAATCATCCCTGCCATTTCTCTGGGCTTTCTCAGCAGGATCCTGAAATCAGAGCGTGGGTAACAACCCTAGGTACTCCGAAGTGGAATGCAGACGAATTAATTACAAGCTGGGCCCAGTGCCCTATTTAGTGGCTAAAGTCCTTGCTTTGCACACACAGGATCCTATATAGGTGACGGTTCTAATTCCAGCAGCCCCGCTTCCCATCCAGCTCCCTGCTTGTGACTTGGGAAAGCAGTCAAGGACGGCCCAAAGCCTTGGGACCTTGCACCTGCGTGGGAGACCTGGAAGAGGCTCCTTGCTCCTAGCTTCAGATCGGCTAAGCTCTGGCCATTGCGGCTCCTTGGGGAGTGAATCAATGAACAAAAGATCTTCCTCCATGTCTCTCCTCCTCTCTGTATATCTGACTTTCCAATAAAAACAAAATAAATCTAAAAACAAATAATGATTAGGCTGTATGTGTACCTCCACTTTTATTCACTAGCTTCTGTTAGCATTTTCTATGTTTGGATAACTATTCAAATAGTTTTATAATATGTTAGATTGTTTGGTTAGGCTAGCCTGTACTATTCAATATGCTAGCTATTTTAATTAATTAAAATAAATTTAATTCAAACTGAATTAAATTAGTTGAAATAAAATAAAATGGAAAACTCAGTTTCCCAGTCACTCTAGCCACATCTCAAGTGCTTAATAATCATATTTGGCCGAGAGTTACTGTACTGATCCGGGTAACACAGAATGTCCACATCATTCCAGAACATGCTAGTGCATCATTTTGGGCTACTGACTACACCCCCTCTGCTCCTCTTTCCATCTGTTAATCTTCTTTTTTAGAGATTTTTGCAAATTTTACCTGACTAGAAAAACAATGTAATGCATTTTAATTCTATTCTAAATGTATATATTAAGAATGAGTTTCTTTAAATTAGCAAATCTTTTCACCCAGACTCTGACATCTCTCTTCATTTGGTCATGTTTTCTTTTTTATCTCCTAATAAGGTGATTGTATTTCCTGCCAAAATATTCATTCATCTCTCAAATTTTATTTCAAAGAATTTCAAATATAAAGTTGTTACAAATGGACTCTTCTTTGTATTATTTTTACATTTCACCTGACTTGCTCTATGTAATAATAGGACACTTTTTCCTCGCAGATTTTGATATTCTGTACACCAAATATACTCTCATATGTCATTCACTCTGATTCCCTAATTGTTAGTATTTATACAGGTTGTCATTTTTTGTCTCTTTATGCATCCATGTATGTATACACACACACAAACACACACACACACACACACACATTTTCTTCAGCAGGACCACATGAGTGATTCATTTGATGTACAATAACATCCATAGTAAGTCCCCCTCCCATGTCTTTACAGAGTGTCCAAGAAGGAGGCCACCCTGCGTTTACCCCTGCAGAGTGATGCAATGAAGATGGGGACTAAGTTCACCTGTCTTCATAGGATGCAACTAGCAGGTGCCTTACAACCTTGTGAGAGGCCTACTTCCATTTTAAAAAAGAACTTTATATACATGTCTACAGCACATGATTTAGTATATATAAGATTTATCTATGTATCTATATATATATATTTGTTATATATAACATAATGTATATGATTTATTAATCTGAAAGAGTTGCAGAGAAAGAGAATCTTCCATCTGTTGGTATACTCCCCAGATGGCTGCAACATCCAGGCCTCCCACATGGATGGTAAGGACCCAAATACTTGGGTTATCATCTCCTGTTTTTCCCCAGGTGCATCAGCAGGGAGCAGGATCAGCAATGGAACAGGATACTGGCCTTACAGGCAGTGGGTTCACTGCTGTGCAACCATGCCAGTCCCCCAGAGCCTATCTGAAATCAGCAAAGGTGAAGGGCTGTTCACTCTCCAGACAAGGATGCCTTTTGTCTCCCAGCACCCTGTATTATAGTCCCCAGGACCAGGAGGGTTGCTCCCGAAAACGTGCTCCCAAAGAGCACAGGCGTGCTTCAGTCCAGGCATCATCTCACCTTGACTTGCCACCAAGCCTAGGGAAGAATACTTAAGAGATATAGCTCTTGTCCTGAGGCAATTCCTGTGGTGCCAACATTATGGAAAGTCTCTTCCAGATACAAGTACCCCTGACCCTGTTCTTGTCCTTGTCCCTTGCCACCTGCTGCCCATAAGATTTGGATTCTCGGGCCTGGTGCAATTGCATAATGGTTAAGGTCCTCGCCTTGATGGTGCCAGGATCCCATATGGGTACCGGTTCTAATCCTGGCAGCTCCACTTCCCATCCAGCTCCCTGCTTGTGGCCTGGGAAAGCAGTCGAGGATGGCCCAAAGCCTTGGGACCTGGCACCCTGTGTGGGATACCTGGAGGAAGTTCCTGGCTCCTGGCTTCGGATCGGCTCAGCATTGGCCATTGCACTCACTTGGGGAATCGTTGGACGGAAGATCTTCCTCTCTGTCTCTCCTCTTCTCTGTACATCTGCCTTTCCAATAAAATAAATAAATCTTTAAGAAAAAAGATTTGGATTCTCAGAATTGGATTCTGGCTTCCCTCGAAAGCATTTGTCTTTCTACATTTCCTCCTTAATCTTAATGTGCTCCAGAAACAGAGTCCTTATTCTGTTAGAGCTCATGGATTCAGAGAAACACACCAGCCAAGAGCCATAAATAAAAGCAGGAAACTTACTTTTTGAGTAGTCAGTGAAATATGCTTCTCACTCAATTGTTAAAATAAAAAAAATCTGTGGCACAAAATAATTTCAGCCAGCGAAAAGATACAACTTTCGTACTTCTGCATTTGGAGGAAATTTGAGTCAAAAATGCCACCAGGTGATGAGGGGCACAGAGAAGGAGAATGATACAGGTGAAACAGAAAGAAGAAACCTAGCGAGACACCAGAAAGGAAAGGGACTTGTTTATGCACACCCCCATCTAGTAAGCAAGAGGGATTTCAATAGAAAAGAATGCCTACTGGCTGGCCTTTGTGGAAAGTTCTACAAATAGTTTAAAATTACATTGCACCTGTTGGCATAGTTTATGTCTGCAATTTGGTCACTCTGATTTAGTTACATAGAAGTTTGTCTTGTTAAGCAAATGAACTTGATCAGTGCATAGGAATTAAGAGAGATCAATGTGGGCACACAAGAGCTTCCTAACGTTTTTTTTGCAGGAGGAAAAAAATACCTTTTGATTTCCCCAAGTCTCTAAATATAGCCTCATCCTTTCCTTAATTTGGATTTCTTTGTAAAAATAACAGTCAAGAGATGTTAATCCGTAGTGTTATGTTCAGTAATAAAGGCAAAACTGACTACTTACAAGGACCAGTTAACCAGGTTTCCCATGACCAGCAACACCATTCTATCCTGGAAAACAGGAAAGAAGCCTTCCCATGAGAGGATGCACACACTACTTTTCTTTCTTCTTCCTATAGCCAAAAACGATTGCCTTGGTGCAAAATAAACACGTCTTATGATTTGAAGACAGACTTGTCTGGGTCTGACACTAATCCTGTACAACACTAAAGCTTCTGACTGCAGACAGCCTTCACTTTGCTAAACAAATAAACAAAAAAAACCCAAAACATGGTCAGCAATGCAGGACTGTGGCTGTTTCTCTCCAGTGTTTAGTGGAGCTAGGCACCAGCCAGCTTGGTGGGGAGGCTAGTGGCATGTGCTGACCAACAGTTTGTACTAATGCAGTCACTGGCAACGCCACTGGGCACTGTCTCTCAGGGATCTTTACAGTCTCTTGCAATTCTAAGGACCTGCTGCAACTAGTTACTGGGTAGGGAAGCAAAGAAAAAAGGAGGGGTCACCCTAAAGGACATTTACTCTGAGAAGAGATGAATTCATTTGGCTTCCTGCTTCTTGGCTCAATATTTAAATCACCTAGGTTGGCATTACTTATTGCTTACATGGTCACTTACCTATTATTTAATGCAATTTTCTGTCTGTGCAGGTGATTCATCCAGTCTGGAGAAAATATCTTTGCATTTTTTCTTTTTCTTTTTAACAAAAGCATTAATTCATCTGTTAGAATGGCTATAACCTCATATACTGATAACATGAAGTGCTGACAAGCAGATGGGGCAACGGGAACTCTCTTAATTGCAGGTGGGAATGTAAAATGTTTTATTCATTTGGAAGATAATTTGGCATTTTCTTACAAAACTAAACACATTCACTAGACAACCCATCCATTGTGCTCCTGGTGAGCACAATGTATCCAGATGAGAACTTACGTCCGCACAAAAAGCGGAGCATGGATGTTGACCAATGCTTTACTCATAACTGTACAAACTTGGAAAACACCAAGAGGTCCTTCAGAGGTGAACTGGTGACCAACTGTGGAATAGCCAGGAAGTAGAATATTATTCATGGCTGACAAGTGGTCCAGCCATGAGAAAACTTAAATGCAAACTACTCAGTGAAAGAAGTGGCTCAAAAAAGGCTCCATGCAATAGGATTCCAGTGACATATTTTGGAAAAGGCTCAGCGCTTGCCAAGGGTCAAGGGGAGGGAGAGATGAGTAGAGCACAGCAGATGCTTGGGCGCTGAAGCTCCTCTAGCTGTGACATGAGGATGGCACGTATCTATCCTTACACAGAGAATGCCCAACAGCAGGAGGAAATCCCACCATAAACTATGGGTTGGGTGAGGATGATGTGCCCTTGTAGATTCCTCAGGATGCTGAGAGTATAGAGGCTGTGTTTGTGGTGGGGCAGGGAGTATATGGCTAATCTGTTCTGCTCACTTTTGTTGTGAACCTAACACTGCTCTAAAAATAGGCTCTTTTTAAAAAGATGAAAACCTGCATAATTAATGTAAGACAGCAAAAAACAAAAACAATTGCTTCTCCTGATGGACAAGCTTACCACTCCCAAAAGTCACAGGTTTGAGCAGCTTTTACCTTTTCTCCTAATGAGATCCTCTGGTTTCAATTCCTTCAATATTTTAGTGCCTGTAGCTCCTGGCCAACCTCCAAATGGCTAAAGAGAGTCCTACATTCCTTCATGCAAAAATCACTCTGACTATACACAATGGGCAGGTACTTCCTTTAGTCCTGTGTGGCTGGTCCCCAGGTATCACCAATTTGAGCACAACAGTACTGTGTGAAGGCTGGGTCCACATGCCCAGGGGAGGTCAGTGCACTTCCCTAAGTCACTGGCTGATGAGCAGGATAGGGTTCTAGCCAGGGCCCTTCCCTCTCAGATCAGCGTAGAAATGTTTAGTACAATGAAAAGTATATGGCAGAACTTGCAAAGGTATTTCATGCATCCAGAAATAGCCATAGGTGAACAAAATGTTTTTGCTCCTCATAAGAATCAAGCAACATAGAAAGGCACAATGTGGAAAGTGCAAGTGCCTCATGAAAGTGACTCGAGTGACCACATGTCTCAGTGTGTTGGGGCAGCCCTGCTTGGTGCCTGCTGTCCTGGGTGCCTTTCCATCGCCACCTTGGCACCTGTGTGGATGATTGTTTAGGATGCCTTGCCTTGATTAATTCTCACAGCAATAATTGCTGCTTGACAACTTGTTATGTAGATTTGCTTATATATATATTAGCAAACATTTCATCCAGGAAAATGAAGGAATGCTAACTCTGTTTTAGGAAAAAGTGAACAATGTGCTGTTCCCCACACTTTTGCCCCCAAACTGGACAGCCACTCTGGGCCATCTGGCCTTTTGGATTTTGGGGGCCTTGGTGACTATCCATGTCTGCCCTTCCTGCTGTCTCCTGGTTTCCTGAAAGAACACCAAGGAACCCAGGGCCATGCATGTAAGGCACTTACCATGTACAGAGGCCGGCTACACTGCTGCATGCAGTCTGTGTAGCACACCAGAGCAGCCCGCCGGAAAAGTCCCAGGTCTGCTGATGACACAATCACAAGGTGAGAATGCTTTGTTGGGAAGAAAATACTCAGAAGTGTGGCCCAAGCTTAGGTGGCCAGGGTGACAATTAACTTTCCTTCCTTAAAACATCTAACAGATGAGTAGTGCATGTTTGCTTTAAGAAAAATGGCACTGTCCTTACGGAATGCCCCCCTCAGTGTACCACATGGCAGGAAGGCAGGCAGGATGGATGCGAAGGTCAAGCACTGAAGACAACAGGGGCAAGTGGCTGGTCCTTCTGCTGTCTCCACTAGCTAAGTTCCCCTTTCTCCCAGTTTATCCTGGCAGTGAGTCCTTTGTAACAGGGATGGAGTGGCCTTCCTGAAATCCACCTGAAAAAAACACCTGCTCTCCTGGGAGGATGAGAAGCTTGAACTTGCCAAGATTCTGATTCTTATTTTGCGACATGGTTCTATTAGTAGGGATGGAACCAAGGGGTCCTGGTCTCTATTCAGCATTTCCAGAAAGCCAGGTTGCACTGAAACAGTCATCAAAGCAATGCAAAAAGGTAGTGGGAAAGGCAGGAAAGGTTTTATGAAAGGCAATCCTTCAAAGAAGGTGCATGTTGCAAGTGTCCTCTGAACAGAGTGATGGTCAAAAGTGGGGCTATCCTTCTGCGAACTGCCCCACATGGAAATCCAAGGCAAGTCTAGGTCTGCTCAGGGCAGGCATTTGAGTACGAAACCCATGTCTGGGGAGAGCTTCTCCTGCAGGGCTACCCAGTAGGGTGTGTCTGTCATTTGCACAGAAGAGGCACACAGCAGGCTAGGTGGCTTGCTCTGTGGTCCCTGGGCCTGTCTTAGATTTCTGCCCTCCCGTGGCACCCACTCCAGCTGACAGGCTGGAGGAGGGAAGCAATGCAGAACATTACCTGTGTCAGATACATCTGAACCAGCGGGAGCAGAGAAGAAATGAGAAAACAAATGATTGGTAAGAAGGAAGCCATATAATAAACTGCACTGTCTTCTCAAAATAATGACTTTAAGCTTGTTTCCTAATCATAAAAATAATATTTGTAGATCATAACAAACATAGACATTTTCTGCCTGTGTCAAACCTTCAGAAGTTTACCATTTCTCCAAGGGCATGTGGAGGCTCTTCTACCATCCTACAGTCTGTTCTCCATTTACCATTTCTAATTCATCTTCTGTCATGAGCAATTGCTGAGGTCCCTTTCCAGGCTCTGGGAGCAAGAGACATGGTGGTGAATGGGGCAGGTAGCTCCAACGCTTTCTCTCCTACTTCTGAAATGTCCTCATTCATCACTCTGCCTTTCCTGAGTCCCCATCTGTATTCTGGTGTGGCCTAAGGCCACTGAGAAAACCGAACAAATAATAAGAAAGCAAAAGCAGCGTTATGTGGTAGAGTGAGTTGAAACCGATCCATTGCTCACTCATCCAGCTTCTTGCCTTTGGACTAAATGCAGACATGTTCATTGTCACCATGAAAAAGCACAGTTTCCTTTTGACTCTGGTAAATCTGTAACCACTTTGGGGAGACTCCCTGGGTCCAGAAGTTGGAAACATTCAGTTCAACTCCTTATTGGCCCTTTTCCACTTGCCCCTCCTGACCCACTTGCCTTTTGTCTCTCTCTTGCCCCCTACTACATCAGAGGATACTGTAACCCCTCTTTGGCTTTGGACAGTGGGGAGCTCTGGAAGGGAACTGCAGGGAGGCTGGGAGGAGAGTGGGCTCTCAGGAGTTGTATCCTGGCTGCCCTCCCCGTGAGGTTCCTTATTAGGCTGTATCTGCCAAGCAAAGGTCACTATTACTTTCAGACCAACTTCCTCTCTATGTCCTAGTTTGGCAACCACTTCCTGTCCTTTGGGGATCATGGATGATAAAAGCTTATCTGCTACTGACCCCATGAGCTACCCCTTCCACTTTATAAATTTTAATTTAAAGGTAACTGTCTTTCACCACGTTTATATCTCATTAGCTTTGAGGATAAACCCTCCTCGATATTCAAATGGGGTATCTTTCTTCTGGTAAGATGCTGAAAAATCATTACATGGCTAACATGTTAAATTCTTCAGTGATCCAAAGGTAAACTAATTTATGAGCGTATCCCATTTTGTATCATTTAATATCATTTGTATGGCAAGAGCACAGTATTGGTCATTACCATTACCCACGTCTCACTTTAATTGCATCAGTTCTAAAAGAAACTGAAATAAAACCACTTCAAATCATTTCCCTTTGGCCTTTACTCACCCTCAGTCTGCAGGATAGGGGATGACAAAAGCACCATTTCAGTGTTCTACACAAATGGCTGCCACAAGGGATGAGGATTTGAGATATACTGGCTATGTTAATGTCAAGGGCAAATCTGCTTGGCCATGCTCCAAGGGAAAAACTAAATGGCAAAAAGGAAAAACTGTTTTGTTTGGTCTTCTAGTCTTCTGGCCATTTGTTCATGTAGAACTGCTCTCGGACCTTTTTGTCTCTCCTCTCCGTAAGTCTTATCTGCCTTTCCAATAAAAATAAAAAAATCTTAAAAAGAATTGTTCTCAGACCTGGACAAAAGGGGTCCCCATTTTAGAGAGCCATCATTCTTATGAGGGAGGGGTCAGTTGGGCCAAAGGATCAGATCATTCTTTTGTAGACCACATTCTGGATCACCAGCCCCACAAATCTCCCAGCTATCCTTGAATCTCCTCCCTTCTCCCCTCCTTCTGAGAGCAAGGGTGCCTCTAAATTCTGGCAGGTGGCAAGGAACGGCCAAAGGGGCACTCTCTGTAGAAAGCATGGCTAGACATTGGAGGTTGGGCCAGGGGGTTTCTAGTCACGGTTGGGAGACTCCCTAAAGCACAGAGTAGAGTCAGAGGTGAAAAGAAATGAGGGTCCAGAGCCAGAGGTCTGCTTTCCTGCCCTGCTATGTCCTGCACTGTTCTTTTGAGGGACGAAGATTTTAAAATTTAGTATATTTACAACTTCGTTGGTCTTTCTCTGTATCTTTCAGGAGCTTTTCAGTCTGTTTTATAATTCTGAAATGTTACAACATGGTGTAATGGCTTTTATTGGCATTCTTGCCATGGACTCTGCAAATAATGGACTAGGCCTATGTCCATATGTAGGAACTTGCCTTGGAAATATAGACAATAAAACTTAAACCTGACTCCCGGGACTTCGCAATGACTTTTGACATTAAATACTCTATAGCAACCTAGAGCTGCTCCTGACTGACTGACCAGCAGCACAGCTCTGGCTGGTCGCTGTAGAATACTCTAAGCTCCCTGGTGAATCCATGTTGCCTAAGGGAGTTTGGCAGGAGTCTTGCCTCTAACATTAGTAATTGTGGGGTGGCACAATGGCTCAACTGGCTAATCTTCAATTTCCAAGTGCCAGCATCCTATATGGACAACAGTTCATGTCCCGGCTGTGCCACTTCCCATCCAGCTCCCTGCTTATGGCCCGGGAAAGCAGTGAAGGGTGGCCTAAGTCCTTGGGACTCTGCACCAGTGTGAGAGACCCCAACAGAGGCTCTTGGCTTCAGATCAGCTCAGTTCTGCCTATTGCTGCCATTTGGGAAATGGAAGATCTTTTTATCTTTCCTTCTCTTTGTAATCTGCCTTTCCAATGAACATAAATAAATCTTAAAAAAAAAAAGATTAGTAAATGCTTCTCAGAAACTTCAAGCCCTACACTCTGAAGACACAATTAATTCTCAAGGACTAGTGTGGTTAGAGAAATGCTCTGGGAGAGTACTCCAGAATAAATAATGTTCCTCCAGCTGGAAGCAGGGGGAGTAGTGATCATAACATTGCCCACATGCACCTTCCAAGTCTGGTGGGCTGTTAAGTCTTTGTGATTGGGAGCTGTGGGCATATTCCAGTGCTGACTTATGGCAAGCTTTGTTTCTCAGTGGCAAATGAAATACTGACAGTGTCTTGTTGCAATCCTGAAAGGGATAGGAAAATCTAGAGAGAATATGTGGAATGAGACACAGCTTGAAGCCAGAGCACATGTTCCTGGTGCCCAGTGAGACTACCCTTTGAGATGAGCAAGGCCCATGCCTACTTTCACAGGGGAAGTTTATCTACGTGTTCAGTAGAAAGCAAGTGACTCACCTATCTTGAATCGGCCCATGTAGTAAATCTGTGTGCTGAGAGCCAGAGAGGCAAGAACATGGATGGCAGAGAAGATAACCCAGAACCACACGTCATTCTTCCCAAATACCTAAGAGAGAGATGGGTGTTACCTTTACTTAAGGGCTGTTCCCAGAGAATGCACTGTCATTGCTCAGTCTCTAGTGTATGCAGCAGGAGTCATTACCTAAGCTGTATGTGTGTTTTGCTCTTCTTCCCTTCTTTGCACCCACTGGAATCTTACACCAGAGAGGTCAGGACAAACAACGGCTCCCTGGCCCACCGAGATGGGGAAGGGCAAAATAAGGCAGGCAGCAGCACAAGAGCATTAGGTTGGGGCAGATGCGCTTCCAACAAGTGAAGATAACCAACTCATGCAGAGGGCCACTCATATTTAGAAAGTGGCTTCTGTTCTCTCAGGGTTAGCCTTTCCAATCATCTTATGCCTCTCTGTTCTAATCTCATCGGTGTCAGGACAGTCATAAAGGTACCTATTCTATGATTAGAAACATCCAAGTACAATCAGTGACTGTGTGATGAGAAATAATCAGGTTACAGTCAAACCATACCTATTCACCTGAGGACCAAGAAACATGTGAAGAAATAAACAACCCACAGGCAAGTGCCTCCTGTAAGGGCACTTTCTGAGAGCCAGAAGGGAGGCAGGTGGAAAAGGGACGCACCACTCCGAGCACCGTGAGTGTGATGACCACAGCGAAGGAGGCGTAGGCAGAGTAGGCACTGGCGTTGATGTCTGGGTGGCGGGTCTGATAGAGCTTCAGCATGCAGAGGCCCGCTATCATGTACATGAAGGAGGTGTCTGAGGATCCAGGAGAGGGGCCAGACAACAGGCGTCAGCAAGCAACGGGTTATACTTTCTTGATTTTACCTCTCAGTAATCCCTCACGTAGTCCACGGCCAATCCTCAGATTGTGTGGAGAACTCCCTGAGTCAGTTGCCTCAGAAGCCCGTCCATACTCCACTGGAACATCTCCCAGCTCTCAGAAGAAAAGCATCTGCTAGGAAAAATAACTGACTCCCCCAGCCACCAATTTTTCATTTTAAACACTACTGTTCAACAACAATAACCAAAATTTCCCTAAGGGTGACAGTCTAGGCAGTGTGACAATAAGATGAGTCCTAGGTCATGGTAAGAGGTCGCTCTCAGCACCTTGACATATAACCACATTGATTACTGTGTAATATAGCTTTATATCCTAGAGCTGAAAATGAGCTAGAGATAAGGGTTAGCTGCATTTGGTTTACAGAAATTCAAATGAAGACAAACTGACAACAACAGTTAATGATGTGGGGAAATGGGAACTCAGACAGTTAGTGGGACTGCGATTAACTCTGGAGAAAAAGTTGGCAATTATTAGTAAAATGAGAAGATGCACAAATTGTGTAACTCAAAAATTACGCTTCGGGCCCGGCTTGATGGGTTTGCAGCTAAAATTCTCATCTTGAATGCACCAGGATCCCATATGGGCACCAGTTCTAATCCTGGCGACCCCGTTTCCCATTCAGCTCCCTGCTTGTGACCTGGGAAAGCAGCTGAAGACAGTTCAAAGCCTTGGGACCTTGTACCCGTGTGGGAGACCCAGAAGAGGCTTTGGGCTCCTGGCTTCAGATTGGCTCAGTTACGGCCACTGCAGCCACTTAGGGAGTGAATCAGTAGATGGAAGAAATTCTCTGACTTTCCTCCTCTCTGTATATCTGATTTTCCAATTTTAAAAAAAATTATATTTCGGGTATTTTGGAAGGCCTCTCTCACATATGCACAAAGATGTGTGAAGGACTATTTATTGCAGCATCGTGTGCAGTGACAAAATGGCAGCAGCAACATGTAAATACTGCTCAGTGGAAGAGATGATTGATTTGGCATACTTTACTATGGAATATGATAAAAATTTACAAATTCACAAGTTACACATCTTTATTAGTTTCAAAAATATACTGTGCATAAAAGAAAGCTATAGAGGAATAATAATTTGTTACAAATGCTTTAAAAATGTAACAAACAACTGGGAGAATATATACCAAATTAATCCTAATCATTGTATCAGGGAGAAAAGGAAGGAATTCAGTTGGGAAATGATTCCAAATTATCATCTCAGCTTTATAAAAATGTTCTATTTTTTAAATTATCAAAATGTTTCATTCGTTAAAGAAACTAGATCTGAGGCAAATATTTAAAAGTATCAGCATCTGTTCATTCTGAGTAGTGAATGATAGTGTCCTCTGTGGTTTTCTGTTAAAAAATGTTTTTTAACTTAAAAGATATTAAACATGTTGTAGAATTTCTGTGATGTCCTAGCAGCCAGGACTAGGCCACAAAGACTACTGTCTTGAATACCCTATCCTCTGTGGGGATGGCCTTGGTAATGGCCTGACAGCTAGAGTTCTTCCTTCCCTTCTTTACATCATTTCAGACCCAACATCAGGAATGCCAGCCACCCAGTCCTTTTGCTTCAGTGAAGTTACTCCACCCTTGGATTGTGGCATGACAGATCTGATTGGTGTAGAGGCAACCTGACCCCTCTGCTTATTGGTGCAGTAGTCTGGCCTAAGCTAGTCAGCACAAATGACAGGACTCAGGCAGGGGTTCCAGAGGATTGAGGGATGAGAGGGATATTGCTTGGGTGGAGGGTTTCTTGATGTTTCCTTGCTCTTAAAAGAAGGCTCCTGGAAGCCAGCTGCTCTGTCCTCTGGGACTGTGTGTGTGGAGTGGGCTGGGGGAAGGTTAAAGGAGAGAAGAAGCCTATTTGCATTGCTCATACGTTTGCCATTACGAAGGAAGATAGCCTGAGCATGATGGTCACCTCAGAGGCAGAGCACAAAGAGATTACAGAGAAATGGGACCAGAGTCCCCAGATAAGCCAAACACAAACCCTTTCTACCTCTGGACTATGACTGAAAAATGGCCTTATTATTCAATCCAATCTGAATCAGGTTTTTTGTTAACTTTCATCCCAAAGAAAACACAGAGTACATCAAGGTCAAGTTATACCAAGGAGGGAGAAGTGTTTCTAGAAGTCTGTGGATGGATTCTAGCCTACCTGCTGCCCAACACTTTGTTCATTCGGACCTAGCAATGGGATCTCCTCTCAGTGTTGAGCATTTTACAGCCTCAGGGTGGTTGGGGAGGAATGTGGACACACTGTGGGGAAACCATGCTTCATGACGAGATGCCCTCAGCTCCCATCATTTCACACAAAATGCTGTTTAGGCCTCACAAGTACACCCGTGGCATTTTGGGTGGTGCCCCAGGATAATATTCCTATAACTCCAATCTATATAGTTGATATAGATTCTAATTACCAAATTGGAAGTTGGAGTAATTAGGGCATACATGGTAACAAGCACTGAGCACTCCTTCCATCATCAAGGCGATGCCCATAGCATAGAAGAGACCAAAGTGTTTGGGAATTCCATATTCCTGAAAAGGCAGAAAGGGGGAATCAGGGACATCAGCAATGACACACAAGAGACTCTGGGCACTCTTGCTTCCTCATTATACATGCTGCAGCATGCACCCTCCAGCCTGATGTCCCTCTGCTTTGCAGATGTTGCTTGCAACCCTAACTATTCATGGCTCCCACCTAAGATGTACCCACTCTCTCCTCACCATGGCAAAGATGTCCTTGGCTTCCAGGGCTCTTCGATGGAGAATGTCTCGGCGCAAGACTATTAGTAGGAAGAGGAAGCCCAGAAGGACGTGGCCCAGGTTACTTAGGATGTTGTTGAAGGCACTACAAGGATGAGTGAGAAACCACAACAGTGAAGGCAGTCAAACGGCTTCAGGAAACGAATGGATGCATGAGTGAATGAGCAGGTTCCATGTTCATGTTTCCCACCATAAACATTCCATTAGATTTCAGGACTGGAAATTCATTAAAAATAATTTTTTCCTGAAATATAAACTTTATTTTTAAAAGATTTATTTATTTTGAAACAAACTTTATTTATATATTTTAAGTATACAACTTGATTTTATAGGACACATATATACAAAGGTGCTTCAAAAAGTTCATAGAAATTGGAATTAAAAGATAAGTTTATTTGGGTATAAAAATTGAAATCCAAGCATAGCTTTTTTTTTAACATACATTTGCATGAACTTTCTTAAGGCCTTGTATTTCAAAGATGTTAACACTAAAACAATTTATCCTTTAATTCCATCCTCCATGAACATTTTGGAGAATCTGGGTGTATGTACAGAACAATGATTATTACAGCAAGACCAGACATCCTCTTTCACCTGATGTACTGTTTTAGCATGCTATGTCACTTGTGGTCAAGTATCTGCTTCTTCTCAGGGGTGACTGCTCTGGACCTGAGGGTTTGTCCAGTCTCTTCCCCTTAGCACTGGCAAGGCACAAGTGCTGGAAGAAGGCCACTCCAAGAGAAGCCTTGGGTTTCTATGACTGTGAGGGTGAATTATCATAGGTGGGCCATGATATTATATGCTCCCACTCAGTCCTATAATTGTGAGGGTCAGGACAGGTATCAACCAATTATGGTTCTCAACTTCCTTTCAGGAAACTGAGGCTGCTTCTGCACCATAAAAAGAAACTGGACTCCCAACTCTCAGGGGTATACTGTTTCCAGTGTGCCAGCCTCTGGTGGCTGGAAAGGCTTTGAGGACAGTAGGGTTAGGTTTGGGTTCTAATATCACCATTGGCCAAGGGACTTTTAGTAAGCTCTTATTAAATGATGCTTTAGTGTCTTCATCTTACAATGAGGTAACAGTAGCAATTATCACAGGAGGCCATGTAACAAGTGTGCATGACAATAGGCTGCCCACTCACACCTGTGAATATATGCCATCCAAATGACATTTGCAGAAACATCTCAGAAGGTTTCTCATACCTGTACAAGAGGGACATACATGGTATCAACTTTCTGACTGAGCCCTTATATTCCCTTGATGGGGCACCTGTCCACAGCTGTTTTAAGTGATTTAAAAAATCAAAAATCCCAACATTAGACAGGAAGGAATCTCCAAAAGCCTCATGGGCAGCCAGAGGACTGGATTTACCTCAGGACGCCCAGGGGGTGGGCACAGAGGAAGTTGTAGTAACAGATGTCCTGGTTGCCAGTGACATTTACCACCTGCAAAATCAAGAGCAAGAAGAAGCAGCATGGTTTTTCTTTGTCTTCTGATCCCTGCCTGAGATCACAAAGAGCAGATGGGGGCTCACAGTGAAGCCTGGTCTGCCTGGTCTGCCTGGTCTGCCACTGACAATGTAGCCAGAGTTCATTACCTGTCCTCTTCACTGAGCACAGGCACTGCTCCTTCAATGCTACCACCTTGTTTTGAGTGAAATGGTCTGTGCGTCCTATTTTGTGACCTCAACGTGGAACTCAATGAAGCGTATTTCTGTTGTCAGTGGAATAAAACCCTACAAAGGGATGGCTGTCTTGGGACCTGCCTTTTAGGACTGTCAGGCTATTTCCTATTTTCTGGATCAATGCTTTGGGCTATGAAGTCATTCTACTGCTGCTGGGCGTAAATAACCCCAGACCAGGCAGAGAGGAAGAGAGATATATTTAATTTTAGTATTTATTACCATCTTGGTTAAGAACCTTACTAAGCCACCTCATAAGTATCTGCTGACAGAGCTCCAAATTATGCAGAGTGCTTATATTATAAACAGCGGTGCTCAAGCCTCAGGAAATCTTTGTCCTCGTGATGAAGCAAACATAGAATGGACTAGATAACATCTGACTACTAGCTCTCACACTTGCTTGTGAGAGCACCATTGAGGCTTTAAGTAATACTGGTTCTACTCAGATGCTCATCTCCTCAGTGTAGGATAGAGCATGGAAAGTGAGTTTTAAAAATCACTTATTTGATGGAGAAGGGGTGGAGGAGAGGGAGAAAAGCAGAGACAGAGAGGGAGAAATCTAGTTTCTGTTTCCCAGTTCATTTACCAGAGACCCACAATGGTAGAAGATAAGAGTCAGGTGTACCACATGGGTGGCAGGAGTCCAATTCTGAATCATCCTGCCTTCCAGAGTTCACATTAGCTGGATGCTTGAGTCAGGAGCCAAGACAGGAACTGAACCAACATACTTCAATATGGGACACAGGCATCTTGACTGCTAGGCCAAAGGCATGTTGTGATACTGGGATTTGTAAAAAGTACCCTGGATGATTTTAATTCATAGCAAAGTTTGACAGCTACTGAATCAAAAATCCCTTCCATCTATGCTCTTCTAAAGGGGTTTTCATATGTATAACAAATTCCAGAGAAGGCTGTGTAAGTGACTGGTACCCTAGGCTTCTGTGAAGGAGCATGGGAGATTTTTAAGCTATTTTAATATTATTTTTGCTTACTAAAATTTTTTGATTTGTTTTGCACTTATTGTATTATTCTGTTATTTTCATTAATTCTACTTTAATTTTACAAAAGTTATGTATCCTCCATGTGAAGACACAGGCTAAATTAGGCATCAGGTTTCTTGGTTTGGACCTGGAATTGTATTTACTCTAATCCTTATTTTAATGAGAAAGCTTAGATTGGTAAATACCAGATGCAGTTGATACCATGATGAATGAGCTCAAGGCAATAATTTCAGAATGGGAGACAGAAACATTTAAGAAGTCTCAATTCCTTTTCTGATATAGCAATAGGATACTGGACTGAAAGGTGAGTTACAGAAGAGGCAATGGAGATGTCCAACTGGAGCTGAAATGGGCAACTAATTCCATACCAAGTTACGCTTTGTTCTGTAAGCCATAGTGTAGAGTCCATACTGAATGCAAAAACTGGTGTTCTGGATTGGGGGCAGCACTTACTGTCTGGTAGGTGATGACCAGCTGGATCACAGGCAGGGCATAGAACACAGCGATGGTGATGATGTTCCTGTGCAGGCAGAAGGAATGGTAACTGTTTTCAAGTTAGCAATCGAATCTCTGCTCTTTTTAAAAATGTTCGTATCCTATAGTTAACTTTTGAAAAAGTAATTAGCAGCTGACTATGTACATCCTGTCGCTTCAGTCTTCCTTTCCCTGGCTTGTATCTGGGTGTTTACTACACACTATCTTTTTATATAAAAATACCTATTTACATAATTGAAAGAGTTTCTTAGAAGAAGACACAAACACAACAAGAAGGGGGATGGGGAAGAGAGAGAGAGAGAGAGAGAGAGAGAGAGATCTTCCATCCACTGTGTCATCGTTCAAATGGCTACACTGAATCCGAGCACCACAACAGAGTGTGAGTAGAGTCAGATTCGGTCACAACAAAAACCAGTACACAATATGAATGCCAAGGTGAGGTTGCCTGTACTGGATGCGACCGCAGTGCCCAACAACACACATGAGAACCAGGAAGGGAGGGGGCAGAGCCAGTAGGGGGAATATGCGGGGGCTCCTTTGCTGGATAGCTACTCCCACTGGAGAGCGTAAGCTGGGATGCGAGCAGACCAGACTACTCAGGGATACAACACCTGTGTGCCTCATGTGGACTAGATTAGGGAAAAGCCAGGCTGGACTGATTATTCCTACTGGTGCAAACAAAATTACAGTAGGTGAGGGTTGTTTGGGCTTAGCCACAGCATCAGCTAGCAGAAGCTGGCACTGGGGAGGCTAATTCTCTCAAGTCAAACCACAGAACCACCTGGAGAGTGCATAATCCAGGAGTGGGAGAGGTGTAGGAGGGAAACAATGGGCTCTTCCCTCTTGGGTTACCACTCCCATGGGAGGGCACAAAAACTAGGACAGGGGCTGGGGTGGCTAGACAGAGAGGCCCCCAACAACATCCGTGAGGGCTGGATAGTTAAGCTGGTTAGATGGAACTAAGCTTTAATACCCACTGACATGTACGAGAGCCAAATGGGATGTGGGACAGACTGGACTAGTCTGCTACACATACTGACAAATCAGGGTAGGGGGTGGGCCTGGTGGGGGTTATTGTGGGTCACTCCCACTAGGCTGCAGCGCCCACTGGTTTATGTGAGGACCAAGTATGCGCTGGAAGAACCAGGCTGGACTGCAACACTCATTGGTTCCAGTGGAAGTCGAGAGTGAAAACAGAATCAACCCAGTGATTGCAACCACCAGCTGATGGGGTGATGGACTGTGCCAGGCCCTGTGCTTGCTAGCACACACAAGAATCTGGTCTGGGAACACCTCAGACAAAATTCCTTTGGGGATTTCCCTAATCGAACTGCTGGACTTAGGACCCTAACCATGAAAAGACACAAGACAGAACAAGTCAATCAACCACCTCAACTAAATGTTGGCAGTGAAAAACCGAGTAAACGGAGACTCCATGATGAACTATGTCAATCAGTGGATTCTTCAATGACCTTACCATGCTTGGAGTGGCAAGAATGGCAGAAATTCATAACTGGTGAACTCTCAAACTACTTGAGCAAGAATCTTGGAGCATGCCCCACATCTGGGACCTGGTCTGGGTGGGAGACTGGGTGGGGCTTCTCCCTTAATATCCCCCTTTATCTCAGATACATGAAGGAAACAATATGGAAATAATAGTCTTACCCACTTTTCTATAGCCTTTGAACCTTTTTACCCTAATAGCTATGTAAAGATTGTAAAAAATATAATTACAAAATGGAAAAAAGTTGAAAAAAAAATGGCCAGGGCCAGGGTGCGGCCAAGAAGTCAGGTGTCTGAAGCTTCTCCTGAATCTCCTACAAGGGTAATACATCTTCTTTCCCAGATGTATTAATAGGAAGCTGGATCAAAAGTGAAACAGCTAGGTCTCAAACCAGCATGCATATGGGATGCTGGCATCACAGGTGGTGGCCTTATTCACTACCCCCACGGTGCTGGCCCCAAGCACACTATCTTGACATAGGGTGCTTAGGAAGTAAAGAAAAACTCCCCTTGGCTACTATCAGTTCAGATGTAGGGAAGAACACTAAAAATACTAACTGAAACAGTGTATTTAAGGGTTAATGATGTACATTCAAGAAATACTAGTTTTCTCACGTTCTTTTGGTATAACCACTTGTGAAAATAGTGCCCAAACTGCTTTGGGCTTAGCCAGGTTTTTTATTAGGGCCCACCTCTTCTGGATGTTGTTAGATTAAAAGTGGTCCTACTATAAGTAGCAGGTGATGGAGCACAACAAGGGGATCTAGATATTGCTTCATTCCAAAGCGATGGCCCCCTGCGGAATCCATGTGATGCCATCATCCCTAGTTTCTCTTTAATATTTATTTTCAAGTGAAAGTGCATTCTTTGCAAGAACAGAATGGGAGGCATTATCACCAGAGGGGGCTTGTAAGGTGGAGGGAGGGATCCTGGCCCAGCAGCTCGGCCTCTTGGCTGGGTGGGAGGCAGTGTCCACGTGTATAAGCCTCAGAGGTCTGTTGGGCACTGCCTGGTGGTACATTCCTGTGCCCAGGCATCACCACAAAAACCTTGTGAGCCAAGTAGTTGTGACTTAATTTACTCTAGGAAACCATGGTCCTGCTGGGCATCTACTTACCAAAAATAAATCTTGTATTTTTTGCTGACAATTCTCCTGTCCTTCCTGGATAGATCTGACAGGTACAGGAACATCTGAGGGTATCAAACAAAAAGAGAAAGCAAAACTATACTGGATTTTACTTGCATCAGTTATAATGGAGAGCTTTATGCATTTCAACTTCAGTCTGCCTAAGGAAGAAAAATGACTAGGTGGTACTTTTTTTTTTGTTTTTCCCAGGACACCTTAACACAAATCCTGGTATTTTCCCTGGATACTGAGGAAACCAACTGGGAGTCTTGAGTGCTTCTTTTATCTCAAGGACTGGTTGTCAGCTTTCAGAGCTGCCTACTGCGTGGTTTATGAAACACGTGGGGTTGAAATTGTTCAGTTCACCTTCCTATCTTTTTTTAGGCACTCCACAATACAATAAATGTGTGCCCCAGTCACATGAGCTTTCCTCCTGTGGAAAGAAAGCTTTCGGGACCCCCTTCAAGTGAGGCTCTTCTGGTTGGCTCCCTTCATCCTTTCTTGGCTACTGTCAGCCACTACAGACCTTAAGAATGATTGATTGCTCTATTCATAATAGTCCCACTTAAGTGCTAATTATCAGAGTTAGGTCATATCTAAACCCATTGAGAAATTTAACTTGCTCTGGATTGAAGGAAGGAAGAAAGGGAGGAAAGAATAAAGGAAGGAGGGGAGGAATACATAAATGATGAGGACACTACTAAAGTTTATTCTGCCAAACTTTCCAGAAGTCTAGCCAGACAGAGAGGTACCTTGGTCCGGATGATGTTTTTATCACTCTCAATGTCTGGCATAGTGTCGAAGTCACTCTCATCCACAGAGCTGTCTGTGTCTGAGTGGCATGGGTGCCCACCATCAGAGGAGGATGCCTGCCTCCCTGGGCTGGAGCTTGATTCATCTGCAACACAGGAAACTCAGCTGCCTTTCAAAGCTAAGAAGGGTGTATAGCACTCTTCCTTGCAAAAATCTGTACAGTGCTAAAACATCTGGAAAATACTATGTTGGTCATAAGTAACCCCATGTCACAAGACATGTCCTATCTCTCTATTCCTTCTTAAGGGACATATCTTTTCTCTTTTCTCCTGTTTTTATATTTTAAAACTTGTCGATCTGCAGGGCTAAATACATACTGGAACATTATGACATCTGCTCTGTTAACTATTTGGATGCAAAAATAACATTGTGCCTATGTTTCGTATTTTAAAATATGAACATCAGTAAAACAAACACACATGCAAGGAGTGATGTGCAGCATCTAATGCATTTATGTGCACACACGGAGCCAGCAGCTCTAGATTTGTCACATATGAAGTATTTGTACACAGACACCCCCCACCAGTTATGATTATATAATGAAAACAGCATTCTTGGGAAAAGAATCCTTCTGCTCCTTTCAATGTTTCCTGGAGCAGATGGGAATCTGTGCAGCCCGACAAGTACATGAGCAAGCCTACCTTCCGCTTTATTTCTTCTGTTTAGTTGGCTTTAAAAAATCCTGTTCTTACAGAACTAAAAATAAGTAGCCTGCGCTGAGCCCACATGCTTCTTGAAGTTACAGAAGGGGAAGGCAGAATACAGGCATCCCAGTCCTTCTAGTCCTCCAGGCATCTAGTCCTCCTTGTTGTTAGGAGCACTAGTCATGGGCTCACGGGTGCCATGGAAGGGGCAGGCAGCTCAATGTACTCCTACCCTAACAAGACAGTGACTAGAGGCTCAATGCCTTTCAGGCCCCTTAATGAACACTGGACTTTGCCATGTGAATGCCTGGGTTGCAGTGTTCAGGTTTCCTCACGAAGTTCGCTAAAATGGAGGGTTAGCGGGTTACTGCTATGTTCATCTGCAGCACTGTTTTGGGTGGCAGTGTGCAGGTTCAGTTATGAAGTTAGCCAAAATGGAGGAATGTTGGACTACCGCCATGTTCACCTGCAGCACAGTCTTCTTATCGTATCACCCTTACTCCATTGAGCCTGAGGATGAAATAACTGGTCAGTGATGTTAGGCTCTCTCTGATATATCTTTCATGTCCTAAACTCAGAATGGGTATAAAAAAGTTCCCAAGGGGCGCCTTGGTAGTTGATGGCAATCTATTGTAGGGAATTCTGCTCAAGTGTGGCTGGTAGATTCAGGCAGCAGAACAAAAGAACTGGACAAAGGTAGAGCTAGAATGTACCTTCTAGACTATTTGGCCAGCTCATGTTATAAATAAATCACAAGCTTATGGAGACAACCTGTTTTGATAATTAGGAAACATTTACAGAACTGAATTCATTGTAGAAAATACCTATTGCCCCATAATTGCTCCCTTCAGGTGTGTTGGCACTAATTGGATGTGACACTGCCATATTTCCAGAGCCTGTTAAAAAAAAAAAAGATGTAAATGGTTTATGTTCAGCTGCTAAAAACAACACAAGTTTAAGTAGCTCAGTCATTAGACCACAGTATTCCAAATTTGGTTTTCTTTTTAATACGGGAGCCATCAAGCTATGGACCCAAGGGGAAAAGAAAAATGGTCCACGTACATAGGTTCCTGCCACATGGGAGAACTGGATGAAGCCCCTGGCTCCTAGCTTGTTGAACCCCGGCTATTGAGGTCATTTGGGGATTCCGTTCCATTTTAAGGATGGAAGATTCTCATTCTCTCCCTGCCACACCCCCATATCTCTTTATTGCTAAACCTTTCAAATATTTTTTTAAGAAAGAGGAATAGTATTTCATGACTGATGAAAGTGATATAAAATTCAAATGTCAGCATTCATATTCAAAATTCCATTTTGACACAGCACATTCATTTGAATGCATAAATAGCTGCTTTTGCACAACAATGGCACATTTGAGTAGGTACAACAGAGACTAACCAGTCCAGAAAGTCTAATTCTTTAATTTTGCCTCTATCTGGGGGGTGGGAGTAGGGAATAAAAAACTGACCACTGTCTGGCAGTATTACAGAATCCTAAGGATAAATAAGCCTAGGTCTGGAATCACTAGGAATAGAAACATCAGAAATAAACTTCTATACTTAGATCACTGTACTTTCAAGGATTATTTGTTGTAGCACTTAGCAGTCCCTTCATTATAGGCAGAAAACTGAAATAGGAAAAAGTTAGTGTACTCATTGGAGCAATAAGTGATGATCACGTGAACTAATGGTGTAGAGGAGGAGGAGCTATATGAAGGATCATTTAGGAGATAGAATAGGCATATCAATAGACACCATGAGAGTGCTCCTCCAACATGTCCAATCAAATACTATCAGTAACAGGCAGAGTGAACCCACTGCTGTAAGAACCTGCTGAAATAAGCCAAACCCTAAAGGACAAATATCATATGGTCCTGTCTAATATAAGGCAACATTCTTGCAAAATACAAAACAAATAGATATATAAGTAAACATGCAGATACATACATCATCAATAGGAACTATATAATAAAGACTAGTATATCAAGAGGTGAAGATGTTCCAGTATGCATCTCTACCGAATAAAGGTTGAATATCTAATGAAACCATTAAATATATCTTGACAATAGGATGCTGGACTTTCTACCACAGTTTATACCTACAATGTTTGGATACACTTAAACAGCAGATTGATGGACTTGTGACTGCTACTGAAGGACTATACTATTGTAATAATATAGGAGAAACCATTGGAGGGAGGGACTGGAGAGTGGAAGGGGAAATCCATGAGTTTATGTATTATGAAAAATGAAAATTTTTTAATAAATGAGTTTATTAAAGTAGAGATGTAAATGAGTCTCAAATTCTCTTTTGGAATTTATGCTTAAGCTTCATGGTAGTTTTATCTAAAGCTATACTACACTGGTCCCAGTGTTGTAACCTTCTACACTTCCCTCGGTTGCTTTATTACTTTTTTTTTTTTTACTTTAAGCTTGGGCTTCCTATCTTAAGTCCTCATTTAAAATGGTTTGGATGATTAAAGGAAAAACAAGGGATGCTGGGAGTGGTGCACAGATTGTGATTACTATAAGATATTAGGAATAGAGGCTGCTTGGTAGGGGGTATATGGGAACTAGTTTTAACTCTGCAAGTTTTGTTTGTAACTCTAAAGTAATTCTGAAATAAAAAGCCAAAATGGAATTTAATAATTAAATATACAAATAGTAAGTGAAGAATGAGACTAAAATCAGAAACCCTGGACTCCTGGTATTTTTGTATTTCTGAGAAGTTGTCTGGTCTAGAATATAGGAGTGTGCACAGGAAAATGCTTAAGCTCAGCTGTGGCAAAAGGTCAAAATGGTTCATGGCAGACAAGGATTTATGTGCACAGTCCAAAGAAAATCAAAAACCAAAATCAAAACCAGACAACAAACAAAAACAATCACTGTTTTGTTAGCTGACAACTTTATTATAATCAAAAAGTCAGCATGTGGATCTGTTCCAATCTTGATGAGTCACTGACTTCTGAACTCTGCTCTGTACTACATCTTGTTTGGATGTAGTTTATGGCCCTGCACACTTTCAGGCAATTTCAGTTCTGTGGGTTCCATGATGAACATGAGCACTGGAATATTCATGTGCAACACAATTGCCAGCACTTGCAAATGTTCTCCTTCTGTGGATTCTTACACATACAATGTAAATATGAGACTGGCTGACATTGGATAACAGCATTCTGTTCATTTTGTTTACATGTGATGTCTTTTAAGATTGCAGAAACAAAGCAGGTTATTCCTAACTTCAATTATTATTACGATCTCAGAAGGGAAACCATACTGATATGTAACTGCAGAATATTCCCAAAGCAGCCTTAAGCACACAGTATCAGTTTATAGGACAGATCAAGACACTGTGGCTGGAAACAGCAAGATGCATGAGCTCACAAATGATTTCATCTTACGGGGAATGTTGTTTGAGTGTATTTTTCTGTGAGCCTGAGCCCCTTGCCATCTGCCTACTTCAGTGCCAGAACAGGATATGCTAGTACACTTGCTTCTTATGTGGAGTGCCCTGTGTGAGGAAAAAACATTCATTCCAGGGCCCAACATGGTAGCCTAGCAGCTAGAGTCCTTGTCTTGAACACACCGGGATCCCATATAAGTGCTGATTCTAATCCTGGCAGCCCCACTTCCCATCCAGCTCCCTGCTTTTGGCCTGGGAGAGCAGTCAAGGATGACCCAAAGCTTTGGGACCCTGCACTCATGTGGGAGATCTGAAAGAGGCTTCTGCCCCCTTACTTCGGCTCAGTGCAGCATTGGCCGTTGCAGCCGCCTGGGGAGTGAATCAGCGGACAGATCTTTCTCTCTGTCTCCTCTTTCTGTATATCTGACTTTGCAATAAAAATAAATAAATCTTTAAAAAAAATTCATTCCAGGTGTGGTTCTTTGAAAGACTTCCTATTTATAGCTGCATTGCTTCCTTCTGAAGACTCATGAGTTTGGGAGCTGAAGAGCAAGTCACAAATGATACAAATGACTGGCATCCACTACCCAACCTATTTTGTTTCAAAAGGTTAAGGAGAAAGTAAAGGCAACTACTAAACATCATGGAGGGATTAAAAGTAGAGTAGAAAGTTACAACAGCCAAAGAAATTTGGTAAAAGAGTGAGCCAGGATTGGATTTGAGACTCAGTGTCAAAGGCCTAAGGATACCTCATGCCCCCTGCATCTGCACACCCAACCCAATCACTCCTTCCATAGATGTGGAAAATCTCTATGGTGAAAATTACAAATAAAAATCACTAACTCCAGTGAGACCGGCCTACATTCAGAAATCTACTAACAACGCCTACTGGAGTAGATGTGGGGAAAAAGACTCCCTTCTGACTGATGGTGGGAGTGTAGGCTAGTGCATCCGCTATGGAAGTCACTGTGGAGAGTGCTCAGACAACTGAAAATTGATCTAATGCATGATCCAGCTTTTCCACTCCTAGGAATACATGCAAAGGAAGTGACACCTGCATAACAGAAAGTAACATGCAAGCTTCTATTTATAGTAGCACAATCTATAATAATGAAGACATGGTAACAACCCAGATCCCCATTGAAAGAGAAGTGAATAAAGATGCTGTGGTATATCTACTTAATGAAATACTACTCAGCAATGAAAAAGAACGAAATTCTTCCATTTGCAGCAAAATGGTCCCAACTGAAGATCACTGTACCCAGTGAAATAAGCCAATCCCAAAAGGACACATATTATGTTTTCTCTGATATTAGGCAACCTTCATGCAAAACACAAGATAAAGAGACGTATGGGTAAATACACTTATCTTCTCATAGATGAACTGAGCAATAGAGACTAACATACTGAGACTGAAGATATACTGTAGCATGTATCTATCTATTCCTCAATAAAAGGAAGACTTGCAATTAAACTATTAAATATAGGTTGACAACAGGATACTAGACTTTCTACCTTTGCCTATACCTACAAATGCCATGATACACTTAAATAGCAGAATGTTGGACTTGTAACTCTTGCTTGAGGACTGTATTATAATAATAACAAGGGGGAGAACAGTAGCAGAGGGAGAATGGGGAGAGAGGAAGTGAAGAGGATACTCCCTATACCTATAAAACTATATCATGGAAATAATATAAATAATGATAAAAAAGAAATTCCCAGGAAACCTCACACACACTAAACTCTTCCCACATTCCCTGACTGTACATTTAACTAGGGAACCACCCCTTACCCCATGAAGGTAAAACTACTGGACTAAGGAGTGGCCCTTTTATCTTCTTGCCTTTGCTGCCTGGCCTTTCTCTCATCTCGCCCAAAATCTCTCCTCACCAGTACTTTTCAGGGCATTTCACTGGTTCTCCCATGCTGGTATGGCTCATTGTGGCATTGCCCACATTAATATATGAATGATTACTTGATCTCTCCCGGTCTCAGTAATGCACCTCGCTTATGCCTCTGCTTTGAATTCTCACCTCTCCACAGGGTGGGTTTATCTGATGCAGGTAAATCCACTTATCCCTTTGCGATGATGATTGTTTTTAGTAGTAAGTAAATGATCCACTGAAGGTCAATGAAAGACCAGGAGAAGTTACTGGGAGATTTGGAAAAATACTTCCCTTGTGATGTCATCAGGTAGAGTGAGAGGGAAGCAGAGCCGGGGGAAATAAACCACAGCTTCTGGGTTCAATCAATCAAGGAGCCCACCTTTCTGCCCAACCCTTGGGGAAAGTGGTCTCTCTTGCTCAAGCGTCTTGGAGACAGGAGTCCTGTTGCTACTGGTGGCACATAAATCTTCATGAAATGTCTTTACTCTTTTGGTCACTCATTTATTTTTGCTCATCCTCTGAAGGGTGGGTGTCTCTAGCTTTTGGCTAATTTTCACTGGATTTCTGATCTTGGACAATAATCTAGCTCTGACTACTTTGGCTTGAATGTTTAGGAGACCCTTTGGAATGTAAACTTTCTTTAATTGTGATCACAACAATAAAATGACTTGACCTATACAACAAAAATTAACAGACCATTTTCAGAAGGTCCTCAAATAGATCTAACTAATTGGATTTAGGTGTAAGTTCAATTAGGTCTAAAATAACAACACACTTGGCAACACTTAGGTGAAAATAATGAGAACCAGACAGAAGATAGATTCACGTAAAGATGCTATGAGTAAAGGAAAGTAGCACTTAGTCTTTTAAAGCCACAAGCAGGTGGCTCCTTTACTGTCTTTATACTGGCAGTTGAATGCTTAGCAAAACAAAGTGCCTGGGGCCTGGCGCAATAGCCTAGCAGCTGGAGTTCTCATCTTGCACGCGATGGATCCCATATGGGTGCTGGTTCTGGTCCCTGTGGACCCACTTCCTGTCCAGCTCCCTGCTTGTGACCTGTGGGACTGAGGGGCAAAAAGGTCACTAAGTCAATAAGATGGCAACTAACAGTCCAGGTCACTGATGGGCAAGATGGTGGCCAAGAACAGAGCCCTGGGTGTGAACCAGGGCAGGAGTCACGTAGCTCCAAGGAAATACTGACTGACCAAGGCCATCTTGATCACCTACCCCTGGCCTAAGGGAGGTGGCTTCTGCAGTCATGCTCCTAGTAATTGGCTTCTAGTTTCTCCCCTCCTGGAATTCCCAAAATTCCTGGCCTGAGGCTAGCCCTTACCCTATATAAGAATCTGAATTTCCCCAATCAATCAAAACTGCTTAGACAGAACCCCTGTCCATCTGTTTGTCTCTCGCAGGCAGGGAGGCTGGGTGGCAGGCAGCAGGCTCATCCCCTCCAGCAACGGGGTACTAAAGGAATCTGTGCGGGAAACCCCACAACCTGGGAGGGCAGTGAGGCTTTGGGACCCTGCACCTGTGTGGGAGACCCAGAAAAGGCTGCTGGCTCTTGGCTTTGGATTGATTCGGCTCTAGCCGTTGCAGCCACTTGGGGAATGAATTGTTGAACAGAGGATCTTCCTCTCTGTATATCTAACTTTCCAACAAAAATAAAATAAATCTTAAAAAAAAAACCAAAAACAAAGCACCCTGGTAGCTAGAAAAATAGGGATGCTGACATCAAGTAAGAAAATATGGAAAAGATAGCTGGCTCTCCAGCAAGGAGGGAAATGTTCCTGCTGGGTGGAGGCAGTGGCTGAGTTTGCATCTTTCTAAGATTCTGTGGATTGATTCACTTTCACTTAAATGTAGACAAAACAGCACTAGCATCTGCCACTTACAAGTTAAAAAGCCAAGTCCCACTTCATCATCCTTTGCCACATTGCTTTTGCCATACAAGTCACACTGATTAATGTAATTCAAAAAGTGAGGATATTTAATTTCTAAATTTTGATAAAATATGAGACAACTGAACTCATTTGTTCCAGCTTTCAGAATGTAGGAAAGAGCCTATTACAATGGTCAGATTTGGAACTACCCTGGATCCCTCAAAGCTGTTACATACTTTATTATACTTATTAGTCTCAGATGTTTCAGTAAAAAGTCCTTTATCTTAGTTTGGGAAAAGCAGACTCAGAGTTGGCACAAGCTCTTAACTGCTGTTGGCAAATTAGCTTTGGCATAAGATAGACAAGATTAAACTTTTAAGAAAGATAAGGAGTTCACAAGCAGTCTGTGGAGTGTTACAAGAGACACTCTAACGCTTCGAATGTGAGCTTCCTGTCTCAACAAATCATCAGTCATCATGTTAATTTTACTCTGCTTCCCATAGAAAAACTGCAAATTAGGCCAGATGTAGGCTAGGAACCAAGGAAGGGTTTGGAAATTGCAAAAGACAAAAGAAATATCAAATTAGGAGGGCATCATTCTATTGAATGTCACTTTGAACTAAAATCAGGGAATTTCTTACCATCATGGGACCCAAAGCTTCCATCAGAGGCTTTTCTGTGAAACCTGCAAGGGAACACACACACATGCCACTAAGACAGTAGAAACTTCAGTATTTTACATGTGTTCCATGTAGACTTGGTTGCAGAGTTGTTTAGTAGGATCTCTCTAAAACTGGGTCTTTAGTGCCTGGCGCAGTAGCCTAGTGGCTGAAGTCCTCACCTTGCATGAACCAGGATTCCATATAAGCACTGGTTCATGTCCCAGTGGTCCCATTTCCCATCCAGCTCCCTGCTTGTAGCCTGGGAAAGCAGCTGAGGATGGCCTAAGGACTTGGGACCCTGCACCCGTATGGGAGACCCAGAAGAAGCCCCTGGCTCCTGGCTTGGGATCAGCTCAGCTCCAGCCATTGCGGCCACTTGGGGAAAATCAGCAGATGGACAACCTTCTCCTCTGTCTCTCCTCCTCTCAGTATACCTGACATTCCAATAAAAATAAATAAATCTTTTCAAAAAATGGGTCTTTAGACATGAAGAAATTGGAACTCTAATACACTGCTGGTGAGAATGTAAAATGTTAGAGTCACTTGGGAAAATCATTTGACAGGGTTCTGAGTCTGGCAGTTCTGGAGATCCCCAAAGAAACTTTGTCTGAGGTGATCCCAGTCCAGATTCTTGTGTGTGCTTGCCAGTACAATGTTTGGCACAGTCCATCACCCCAATTAGCTGGTGGTTGCAACTGCTGGGTCAGTTCTGTTTCTAGCCCTGTCTTCCACATGAACCAATGGGTTCATGAGCCTGATTCTGCCCAGCATACATTCGGCCCTCACACAAACCAGTGGGAGCTGCAGCCTAGTGGGAGCGACCTGCAATAACCCCACTAGGCCCACCACCTGCCTTGGTTCCCGTGCTTGCCCATATGTGCCGCAGACATGTCCAGTCTGTTCCACATCCCATTCAGCTCTCCTACATGTCAATGGGCATTGAAGCCTAGTTCAACCCAATCAGGCCCACTACCTAGCACATGCTGGTGGGTGCCATTCTGTCCAGCCAGGCCTGCCCAAGTCCTGGTTTTCATGCTGTCCAGTGGAAGTGATAACCCAAGAGGGAGAAGCCCACTATTCCCCTCCTGGGCCCACTACCGGATCATGCACTTTCCAGGTGGTTCTGCAGTTTAACTTGACAGGATTAGCCCCCCAGTGCCAGCATCTGCCAGTTGATCCTGTGGTATAGCCCAACCAACCCTCACCCATTCTGATTTATGCTTGTATCAGTAGGGACAGTCAACCAAGCAAGGGTCTTCCCTGATCTGGCTCACATGAAGCCCACAGGTGTTGTGGCCCTGTCTGGTCTGGTCTGTCCCCATCTCAACTCATGCTCTCCAGTGGCAGCGGTGTTCCAATAGGGGGGACCTCTGTATGCCCCCTACCAGCTTTATCCCCTCCCTCCCTGGTTCCTACCTGTGCTGGTTGGGTGCTGTGGCCCAGGCTGGCATGGCTCCCCTCACTTCAGTGTTTGTCAGTAGGTGCTGTAGTCTGGCCTGGCCCAGCCCACCCCTAATTCCAGCTGATGCAGGTGAGGCTTACAGTCTAGCCCAGTACAGCAGGCACCCAATCCTGACCAGCTGAGATCTTAAAGTTCAGCCTACACTGGCAGAACTTTCCAGTTCACACAGACTTCTACATAAATTTAAATAAACAAATAAATATATATTGTTCTTTGCCAATGGGATTTCTATGTTTGCTTTTTTTTTTTTAATGCAACAGCACTGTGAAAATGAGTAACTATATGCATCAAAAGGAAGAATGACTATTTTGGATTGGGCAGTTTGGACTCAATGTCTGGCAGGGTACTTGAGAATTATAAGTAAGAGACCTGTGGTTGGCCTCGGGCCTGCACATTCATGGTGGGAGACTCAATAAATGCAGAATGCATAGGGACTGGCAAATAGGAAGGAAACGACATTTACATGCAGGCCAACATAGACTAAAGGCCTGGATTTGTACCTCCTTGTGCATAGGGGTTCATGTCTCTTATCAGTGTTTCTCATCCTGATCTCACACCATTTTCTCCAAACACCAAATGAATTAACAAAGTATAGGGGATTCATAAGGGAAATGATCTTATACTGAGAAGGCTGTTTTCATTTTTTTTTTCCAGAAAACTGTGTCATTCCATAAAGGAAGAGTTCCTCTATTGGAATTTTCCTTCAGTCTGTACCTCTATTTAGAATGCCAAATGGTCCTTATGTCTCCAGACTTCTATTTGCAGATTGCATATTTAGAAAGATGCTATGCTTGTATGGTTGATAGTAGCAAAATAATTCTCAGCTACAAGTTTCAACAGATCAACACTACCACAACTTTGAAAAGCTGTGCTTCCTTCAGTTGACTGGGTAGCTTTACAGAGACTGATAGCTAGCTACTGTTGGTTTTGATCTGCTTTGTGGGTTGATTATATATGTTAATTAATGAAGGAGGAACAGCCCTGATTTATAAAATGTGAAATGTTAGGCACAGAGACCCTCTTTCCAAGAGAGACACAGAGAACTTTCTTCCCATGACATCAGAGTTCATTCAAGGCAAAACTGGAAGCCTTGGATCTTTTTCAATGATCCTTTTCTGGGGTGAGGTGCTTTTTTGTTTGACCCTGTGATCTGCCTTTTTTTTTTTTTTTTTTTCCTGACATGGCCTGAGTGCTCCAGATCCATCCTGATCAGCCTGTGTAAGAGCTAATGACTTGGAGCCAGGTTGCCTCAATTGAAATCCTAGCTCCTTCATTAACTGGCTGTGAATTCTCAGCCAAATTCTTCAAGCCCTCTGGGTCCTCAATTTCCTTGGCCATCACATCACATCATGATAATAACAGTGTCCAATTTTGGGGAGGGTGCATCAGATGAGGTCATCTATGTATAGCACTCTTCACACAAGAACACAGAATACCTATATATTCTTTACCTATAATCACTTGTGATTAGCATGTTACTCCACTTGCTTTTGTATTTCTCCCTCTGTGTGTATATATGTGTGTTTATGCATATATTTATAATTAATTATATAAGACATATGTAATTATATACACATACATTTTTTGGAGCATTTTCAAGCTGCATATATTATAGACTTCCATCTCTAGATATTTCCAAAGAATAAAGTTATTCTCTTGCATAACCACAAGACAGTTACTAAATTCAGCAAATTTAGCATGGGTATGATACCCTTATGCAACCTACTGTCCGTATTCAGTTTTTTTCAACTAGCCTAATAATATCTTTCATAGTATATTTTTTCTTCAAGTACAGTACCCAGTCTGAGGTCAGATATTGTCTTTAGTAGTTATATTCCTTTAGTCTCCTTTATTATGGAGCACTTTCATAGCTTTTCTTTATCTCTGATGATACACATTAATACAATGATCATCATTTTAGATTGACTAGCTTTTACATATTATTAGATCCAGAATACACTTACATAAGTGATATTGTACTCTTTCTAAGCTGTAATGTTTGGAGACATTCAATGTCCATTTTCCCCTTGCTGGCATTAATTTTGATTATCCAACTGATGTGCTAGATTTTTCTACTTTGCTCTTATAACTAATAAGCAATTTACTAGAATATAAAATAAGGCCATACAATTATTTTCATTCTCCTCAGCTTTCCCTTCTAAATTTGGTATCCATGGATGATACTAAGCCTGATGAAATCTTTGTTATGGATGGTTGAAAATGATCAATTCCAACTCCAGTGCTTCCTTCATTATATTTACTGGTAGGCTCTTGGTGTTCTGCTATGGGTAAGAGTTCTCCCTTTACTGTCAAGAGTTTACTAACGGCTACTTTCCCTACATCTGTTTCAGTAAATTTGTTGAATTCACCTAATGCAGACTTCTATCTGCAGGCTCCTTCCTTGCTTCCTTTATCAACATGAATGCATGAATTTCTATTTCTATCCAGTGGTTGATTATTGATTATCCTTAATTATCTTGGTGCTCACGTTCTCCCAGATTTGCCAGAGGTGTCCTATGATTTTTGAAGGTAGGATCTCAACTCAAAAATTTCATCAGGGTCACAAAGGGAGTTCTTTGTTTGAGTCCAAGCTTGGCTTGCATCATCGAGATAACTACTATCATTGATATGGTGGGAAGTTTTTCCACAGATGGAATTAATCTGGCCACACAGTCTCAAAACCCTATGCTGGTTGTGTTTTCTTTTTGTGTCAAGAGGAGAAAGAACACTGTTTATTGTACCTCTCTACCATTCTTTTGTAGCGGTTTCACAGAGAGCACAACCAGGAATGGAATTTTCAATGCTCAACCCTGCTGAGAGAGGAAATGATATTAGGGCTTTGTTGTCAGGGGCTCCAAACTCTGGGAGAAAGGAAAGTTCCTGGGTTAAATTACAGCACAGGCACTCTGTCCCCACTCCCAAACCTTGTCTTAGATCTTCAAGGGACACTGTACTAGAAAAATTAATATTGTGGGAGGATAGCAGTTGATAATGTAATATTCAAACATATTACTTCTGCTATTGATGGTACCTCAAGATTTTGCTTTCTGACTATTTAAAGCTCTTTCTAAATCCACATGCTAGGAAAAACTTATCATTTCCTATGTTTTGTAGGATTTAGACTGAATATTTGCGGAACCAAAAATACACAAATTGCCTGTTTCTTGAGGTTTCATTAAGAATGAAAATAATCAACACTCTACCAGTATTTCCTATGTGTATGACATTGATGGAAACTTTTTTTAGATCCATTTCATTTTCATTGAAAAAGCAGATACACAGAGAAGGAGAAACAGACAGAAAAGTTCTTGGCCCACTGGTTAAACCCCCCCAAGTGGCCACAGTGGCCAAGCTGAGCTGATCCAAAGCCAGGCGTGAGGAGTTTCCTCTGGGTATCCCACATGGGTGCAGGGTCCCAAGGCCTTTGGCCATCTTCCACTGCTCTCCAAAGTCACAAGCAGTCAGGACATGAAGTGGCATCCATATGGGATCCTGGTTGATGCAAGAGTAGGATTCAGTCACCAGGCCATTGCGTTGGGCCTGAAACCTGTGGCTGACTCTATTACACAGAGGTGGGAAAAAGGGTTAACATTTGTTAATGTCTTCAACCTACCTTACATAGTGAACAAACAAAACCAGCAGGCATCCCAAGTAGAAAGACAAGAAGATGAAGATGCTGAAGAGACTGGATTTCACATAAACAGATTCTGTTTGGGAGAGAAACAACTTCCATCAGGCTGTCCTTGGGGGAAACCTCTGGGACAGAGCACCACCATTCCACCCATTCTGAAGTTCTAAGAAATTTTCATTTTGAGCAGCAAAACTGTGGGAGATCACCCAGCCATGAACTCACAGGGGCTATTTTTTCAGGGGATGATTTGCCAGTAGATACTGGGAAGAGACTATAGTCCCCAACTCCAGAATTGAAGCTCCTTTCTTTTGGGGGAGGCCTGAATGTTGTGATTCCCTCTTTTATCTTTAAGTTCCTTGTATCTCTGGTTTTCTTATGACGATTCTCTCTAGTAGGATTATATTGCGTTATCAGATTTCCTAACATGGGCATCTTTCTAAAGCCAGCACTGACCTTTAACAGAAGGGACAATGGTCACTTTAAGGTTTTTTGTTCGTTGTAGATTCCAGGTCTGGTTCTCCTTTTCTGGTAACAACAACAAAAGCAGGGAACAAAAGAGCAGGGTGAGATGGCTTAGATACTAGATTCATGACCTCTCCTCTGAAAAGCATTTTTTTTTAAGTCCCAGAATTAACTCTGGCTGCTGAGTCCTATTTTAGCAAGAACTGAAGTGAAATCTAACCCATCCCTGAAACCAGCAATATCCTTCTTGGTTAAGACTTGCATTTTGGCCTTGGCTCTGTGCATTTGATGGATGCAAATAAGATTGCAGCAGCCTTTTCCAGTGAAGAAGGGTTGTCTGGGCATGTGGGAAGCAGCTGGAAAACAGAGTGTTGCCTATTCCTTTGGCTTGTAGTTCCCTAGCCAATGAATTGTTTTCCTTCACATAGTCATCAAAGGATTGTAGGAACAATAAATTTTGGTAAAACTCCAGAGCAGTGTATTTAGGATATTAACAAAACAGCAGGAATGTCACCTAAATATGAAGGGCATCATAATGCACTCATCAGTAAACACCTGCTGTGTTGGTTTCATGGGGGCTCATAGCAGCTGGTGTTTTCAATCATCACCCATTGCAAGCCCAAGGTAGTTACTAAATAGTTACCCAGAACTACCAACATAAGCCTATGAGCTTACTCAACCACTTATCATCAAGATACGCTGTGTATTTTGTTCTATTACTATCTTATGAAGTGCAATTTTGGCAGCTGGAATGGAGAACTTTATATTTTTCTTGTTCATCCTTGTGGAAAAGATGATAACTTGTAAATATGAGTGGCTTCATTACTGGCTACCAAACTGATCTTTAGAGTTAATCCGCACCTTACTGTAGTATTTTTTTAACGATTTATTTATTTTTTAAATTTTTGTTGGAAAGTCAGATATATAGAAGGGGAGCGACATAGAGGAAGAGCTTCCATCCATTGATTCACTCCCCAAGCAGCCACAATGGCCAGAGCTGCCCCAATCCGAACCCAGGAGCCCAAAGCCTCTTCTGGATCTCTCATGTGGGTGCAGGGTCCCATGGCTTTGGGCCATCCTCGACTGCTCTCCCAGGCTACAAGCAGGGAGCTAGATGGGAAGCAGGGCTGCTGAGATTAAAACCGGCACCCATATGGGATCCTGATGAGTTCAAGGTGAGGACTTTAGCCACTAGGCTACTGTGCCGGGCTAATTCTATAGTATATTTATTACATAAAAGGCCAGCTAGGTGAACTCAATTTACATGATCTGAGGGAATACAAGACTAGAAAGATGAAATGTGCCAAATGACTTTCTATAGGTTCTGGAATACCTTTAGATCAGGGATTTGATTTTTTATTTATTTATTTTTTCTTGAGTGTCTCTCAGATTGCCTTCCAAGGCACTGCTGGTAGATGCCTATGTAGTGGGAAGTAAAAATGAATATTTGGCCTTCCTTTCCAGGTTTTCCAAGTTTTCCTCACTGTCACTTACCCTCGATGAAGAATGATCCTCCACAGGCATAATCTTCGGGTTTTATCACAAACACCACGAAGAACTGTTCACCTGGAAAATCCTTCTTCTGCATAAAATATAACAACCTTATGATAGGCAGGAATGAGAGATAGCAAGAAAAAGGGAGAACATCTATAGGGGATGGGGAGCAGAAAGGAAGATGAAAGAAAGTTCATCCCTGGCTTCTGGCTGCACAGAAAAGACATTCACATATTCATGATCTATTCTAGATTAGCCATAATAGCTATTCCATCCAGGAAATTAAGTGGATACACTATCAGGATTTTTACCTATTTTGGGCACACCTCAGTGCTTAGATCTATAATGGTCACCATATAAATAATAATGTGGCAACTGCCTTGCTTACTAATTAAAATCTATATATTATTTTTATATTAAAACCTAATGATAAATATAGCTTTTCTCAAAGTCATACAATCATCAGTTTAGTAAAGAATTTAGGTGAGGAAGGTAAAGGACCCTAGTCAGGAGATCTAAGTTATGCTCCAGCTTTGACTTTCTCCAAGTGTTTCTCTTGGTCTCTCACCCGTGAAGAAGCATATTGTACAAGATGATCTTATTTAAAATGCTTTTCAAGAAATTTTGAGAGGCAGAGTGACACAAACATGTACATGCACTCACACACACACACACACACACAGCGAGTTCCCAGCCATTGGTTCACTTTGCACATGATGGCAAGGGCTGGGCCAGGACCATGGACATGGCCAAAGCTGGGGAACAAAAAACAGGGACTCAATTCAGGCCTCCTACATATGTTGTTGAAACTCAATCACTTGCAACACCACTGCAATCCCCTGGGGTCTGCCTCAGCAGGAATGTGGTGTTAGAATGCAGAGCTGAGCTCGTATCTTAACTGCTAGGCTAAACAGCAGCTCTCACAAGATGATCCTTAAGGTTCATTATAGCTCTATAACTCTGTAATTTTGTCATTCCAAATATCTACTATTGCATTTAGCCCTCAAAAAAAAGGGACTCAAGATTGAAGCATCAGCCCAGAAGTGAAGTAAAAATGTACTGCCTAACCTAATTTACAGAGAGCTTTGTTGAAAATCCAAGAAAAATGTGATTCTTTGTTCCTTGTCTATGACGTAGACATACACTGATTTACTTTTCTCATCTTTAACCTAGTGTTCTGGGTGACATAAAACATGAAGTTCCCTATAATGTCTATTTTTCTGTCCCTTTTTTATTTGAAACCACACAATGCTGGGTTGGTAAGAAAGAAATAATTGCTAAAAACAAGAGAAGGTGTTTGGAATATCAAGTCCTTCAAAAATGAAAGCCTGATTGGTAAAGTGTGACCTCTACATTATAATTATTTTTTCTTTCTTTTTTTTTTCTTTTTGCTTGTTAGACAATAAACAGCATCATCATAACTCTAGAGAGATCAGGCTGCAGGTATACCAGGTAAGTACAACTCCAAGGCCCAAGATATGATCTCTGAATGTATGCTTACATGAGATTTTGCTACAAAATAACTATTGAAATAATAATTTAATTATAGACACCAGAAAAAGATAAATTGTTGCACTGAACCTGACCCTTGTGTTCAGACTTGAAACCCTTTTTTTCTTGACTGTTACTGGTACAAATTTTTACACTATGTTTAAGTGTTTTAAGCAGATCTGATAAATACCAAAATGATACTTTCAATGAATATACTAGCATATTCAGCCCTGTCCCCTCTATCAGTTATGTCCCATGGGCCATGAGTTTCCAAGAGTCATTAAGGGGAAGGGGTACCTGGTGGAGCATCATGGTTTACCATTGCCCAGGCTTTGATTTCAGGCATAGCAATGTTACTTTTCAAATTAATTAGAAAGAAAAGAGACCAAAACACTCAGAGGTTGGCTATCCCTTGTGGAAGATGCTCCAGTTGTAAACAGACCATCTACTGAACATTGTCAATGACAGCATATTCTCACCTGTAGTGTGATAGCAGCTTTCTTGGTCATAGACTGATAGACACCATTAAATTCCACGTTGTGGTCAAGATCATACACTGGACACTGTAGCACATGGGAGGGATTGAAAGGAAAGCATTACTGCCAGCCTATATTTCATACCACACATAGATCCTATCTGGACCTTTCTACCTGGATCACGGAACAGGAGGGTCCTTATCAAGTCAGCAACCATGAATAGGTTCCTCCTAAACTTAATGTCTTCTAATGTGAAATCCAAGTCACTTTACATGGAAGAGAACTATGAAAAAAGATGACCTGAAAATGCATTAACTCCTTTCCATTTTTTTTTTCTGTTACCACCACATGAGCCAGATGGACTCTAATGTGACAATACATTTTGCAAACAGAAGAAAATGTAGGCCTCTGTCTTCTTTTTTTTCAGAGCCCATACCTTAGTCTTTGTTCATCATTGTATTCATCCCCGTCTCCTTCCTTTCCTTTATCCTATTTGTTGAGGAGTCAACTATTCTTTCTCCAGATCAGTGTTTGCAAACAATACTATTTTCATGATTTTGCAGTTTTGAGGGAAATACAGTGTCAGTGGATGGCTGAGCCCCTATTCCTCCCTTGCATTTATTCTAAGATGACACAACAGAGGGCCAACATGCTACCAGGACTCACCATGATGTTCTGGACTGAGATGACAGAACATGGATAAGCCATTTCAGATACTACTGTAATGACAACTGAGTCCACATCTTCAGGAAATTTGTAGAGGAAATACTGGGAATATGAAAAAGAAGACATGAGTTGTTGATACTAAAGTAGGTTTACAAACTGGAACCCAAACAATGTGCACAGGAATAGGACTGTTTCATCCTACTCTTTGGCACCAAGTTCAACTGTAAAGGCCAGTGACTCTGCACTAAGTCAGTAAATTACTTATCTTAGCCACTGAACAACTAAATGTACTCCTTAGGGCTCTGTGTCAGATGGTGGGAGTACAACAGGGAATAAAGGCAAGGTAGCCATTTCCTACAGTGCTGCCATCTCATTGTATGGTCTGGTCATTTCTTCCTTGACAAAACTTGGCTTACTTTATTTCCTGCTTAAAAAATTATCCCTCCTCGGGCCCGGCGCAGTGGCGCAAGTGGTTAAGTCCTCGCCTTGCACGCCCGGGATCCCATATGGGCGCCGGTTCTAATCCCGGCAGCCCCGCTTCCCTTCCAGCTCCCTGCCTGTGGCCCCGGAAAGCAGTCGAGGACGGCCCAAGGCTTTGGGACCCTGCACCCGCGTGGGAGACCCGGAAGAGGCTCCTGGCTTCGGATCGGCATAGTATCGGCCCGTTGCGCTCACTTGGGGAGTGAATCATCGGACGGAAGATCTTCCTCTCTGTCTCTCCTCTCTGTATATCCGCCTTTCCAATAAAAAATAATAAAAATAAATCTTTAAAAAAAAAAAATTATCCCTCCTACCACACACCTATTGAATCAACGATACGTGACATATTACATAAAACAAGATTCACACGGGTGGTCATTGTCCATGAAGTTCTACCTTGAGAAGTAGATACAACTGTTTTTCAAGAATTTAACTGCCTTTGACACACTGCAGTGGAACAAATCCAAATGGCTAACAGACATATGAAAAAAATGCTCAAACTTCCTGGCAATAAGGGAAATTCAAATAAAAACAACACTGAGGTTCCACTTACCTCCAGTATGAATGGCACACATACAGAAAACTATCAACAATACCTACTGACAAGGTTGCATGGGAAAAAGGAACCCTACTCCACTGCTGGTGAGATTGCAGACTGGTACAACCACTATGGAAGTCAATATGGAGAATACTTAGGCAACTGAAAATCCATCTACCATATGACCCAGCAATACCAGTTCTAGGAATATATCCAAAAGACTTGTTATATGATCAAGCAACGTGCATTCCTGAATTCACTGCAGCACAATCAATAATCGCAAAAATATGGAAGCAACCTAAATGTCCATCCACAGAGGACTGGATAAAGAAACTGGTTCATCTACTCGATGGAACACTACTTAGCTATTAAAAAATATATACAATTGTTTGTAGCCAGATGGGCCAAACTGGAGACCATTCTGCTAAGAAAAATGAGCCAATCCCAAAAGGTTAGATATCATATGTTTACCCTAAAATAAGATGATGTCAAATCTAAGGATTTTACCTGTGAATTCTACCTATTCTACCTACTGTACTTCCTAATTATTTGTACTTTCATAATAAGACCTTGTGATGTAATCCATTAATCAATCATCCATAAGAGCCTGATTGCTTGTAATCACCAGAGATTGCCAATGTCCCTTTTATCACTGTTATTGCTACTGTCCATAATAAAGATAATAGAGTCCTTATTGTACTTTTATTAGTGCCATACAGGATACATGCTGGCATTTATTTCTACGTGAAGATGCTGGACACTCTTTTTCACCACCCTATTGTCACACTGATACCTTTGCTATATCTTTGTCAACTTCATGTGGATAAAGGTATTTTATTTTATTTTATTTTGTTTTATTTTATTTTATTATTTTTTAAATTTTTATTTATTTTTTTTTTCTCCCTGGGGTGGGCTGTACTAAAGGGGATGCATAATGGAGGTATAGCAGACATTAATATGTTCATAGGTGGAAACAGAGAGAAGTATATCCTCATGCATGCAAGGATGGACTCACAGTGAAATGGCTGATAATCTCCTGCATGTTGGAAGACACCTCAGTGGCAGAATTATGGACTTGTGAAAATTCACGAAAGACACCCATTGTAAGACTGGAGGGGAGAACAATGGGGGGGGGGACTTGAAGAGGGGCTGGGGACCCCAGTGCCAATGAAATCGTGTCATAAGACAATAAAAACAATAAAAAAGAATCTAATTGCCTTCATCTGGGCAAGAATTAGCCCCAGATCAATCCTTCCTCTAGATACTTTGCTAAAGATTTTGTTCACTGGATGGAATATTCTAAGAAATAAGGAAATTCAAAGCGTAAAGCCTACAGCTGACTCTCCAAAAATGTATTTATAAATTTGGCCAGGACCAGGTATCTTTAGAAAGTATTTTTTTAATTATCACATTAATCAGAAAATACTACTTACATATGTAAATTTTGAATCCACTGGGAAAATTTATCAACTCTTAAACACTATAGCTACCAAATAAGGGAGGGGAATTCTGTTTAATAGCTCTATATGTGGTAACTGGCTAGGAAGCTGTGTCAAGTTTGTGATTAAGGTTTTGAAGACACCAACTACACCAGACCCATATCCTGGGATGAGTAAAATCTATCACTTTTCCAAGAGCGAGAAAACATGCTAAACCTTCTTTGTTAACATCCTCTTTACTCACCCAATTTTTTAGAGCAGGACAATAAAAAATGCGTATTTTTTTCATAATCCAAATTTTCTAAGGGGGAAAAAAGTCATTTTAAGATTAAGGTATATCATTAACTACTATTTGGGAAATCTATTCACATGTTGTTAACTGTTGGCAATACCTCCCAAAACTCACTTCATTTTGGAGTTTGATTCAAATATAACATGGGGTTAATCCAAAGGATTAGTCTATAACTCCCAAGAGGAGTTCTTGGTTTTCAGGAAAACCATTTATTAATATTCAGGACAATAACTCTGTTAGCAGTGATTAATATCCCATATATGTCCCTATAATAGTTCTGTGCAAGCAGCAGACCCCTAACTGGAGTTAAAGAATTACCAACCTTCTTCATTTGTAAACTAGCATTACCCCAAATAAACGTTTTTTTATTCTTTTTTTTTTTTTTTTAGGTTTTTGATTCTTTCCCTGACAATCTGCTTGCACTCAAAGTAATGGCTTTTATTTGATTTGGGGGTACATGTAAAAATTATTTGTGCTTTTTAAAAATTAATATGCTTTATACAATAAAAAGGAAGCCATCATGTGTAATTATCACTGATTTTCAGTCTACAGGCAGTTCTACCATGTAATTCATGTTATGTTCAGTATACCATGTTTAGTGTAGCTCTGAATATTACTAGTAGACTCCACTCTTCCTGAAGTTAGAGGTAAGTTGTTTCTCTTTTGCTAGTATCTCCTACTGCACCTGATAACTGATTATGATGCCCACACAACATGCTAATTCCAGTTTTATGTTTCCAAAGCAAAAGCTAAATAGACCAAAGCCATGCTACATCCTGCAGAAAATTTACAGCAACTATCAGGATGTTAATGTCTTAAACTAGCTATTATAGAGATATTATTCTTTCAGAAGCCATGAAAGAAAAAAGGTAGCTAGGAATGTCACCAGAAAGAGAGCCTGATTTCAAGTTTTCATGTATTTATTCAGTTTAGGATTAGGATTTAATGGCGAACACAAGAAAAATATCTAATTCTAACCCTTTGGTTCAACATTCCTGTTCTTTCTTAATGACAGGAGAAATGAATTGGTTCTACCATAATATTGTAGAAATTTACATCTGCAGTATTTCTAACTGTCTTTCTAGGTCAATGAATTTATTTTCATGTCTGGTGTTGGCTTCCCCCAACCCTATCCTTACTCTCGGGTCCATAACAGAGTTGTTTCTGTCTTCTTCATCTGGTGTTCCCAGTGTACCTAGTACAGTCTTACACTTTGGTTGGTCTGAACCAAAGAACATCTGAAAGCAAAGATCATGACTTCCATGTCATACAAGTACAAAGAAGATAGAATTTACCTAAGTTTCCACTAATATTGAACAACATTCCAAAACACAAGTATGAAATGATGAAAGGGCAGGACGAACACCACATGCAAGCTCTGCTTGGCATTGCAGTTTCTTTGGGCAACACTGACAGCCAGGGTCTTGACTGCTCTAGGGTTCCTTACCTGAGGTTGAGAGGGGCTGGCAGTGAAGCGAAAGGCAACATTTGTCCTGAAGCATGAGGAGAGAAAGAAAGAGGGGAGTTAAGAAAAAAAATATTAGTTATGTAGAATATAAGCAAAACATTTATTTAAAAGGAAATCATCTTAAACTAGAAGTGAGGGGAGTGAGGGAACCTTCCTCTGTGAATGCAGTCATGGGTGGATCAAAATAACAAAGTAAACTGCCTAGGGACTTGACGGTTTTAATCTCAGGAGTGTTGAAATTGGGGAAGTGCCTTTTTTTCTATTTATTTACTTATTTGGGATGGGGGGAGAAATGGAGAGAGAGAGAGAATGAATGCATCTTCCATTCACTGGTTCACTTCCCAAACGTGTACAATATATGTCTTGGGCTGGGCCAGGCTGAAGCCAGGAGCCTGAGCTTCATCTGGGTCTCCCGCCTGAGTTCAAGGGCCCACGTGCTTGGGCTAGCCTCCACTGCTCTTCCAGGTTTGGAAGTGAAACAGCTAGGACTTGAACTTGCACCCATATGGAATATTACAAGTGACAGCTTTACTCACTGTGCCACTACACAGGCCAGTGAAGACTCTTTCCACTGCTTTTCCTTTTAGAAAAAATGAAATACTTTTTGGAAATTAAAGATTCCTTTAGAAAGAATATTTCAGCATATTTAAACAAGTCACTTGTATCCCATATCAGAGTCCCTGGATTATAATCTCTGGTCCCCTTCTGATTCCAGTTTCTTCCTCATTTGCCTTCTGGAAGGTAGCAGGTGATAGTTCAAATCCTTGAATCCTGTTATTCTGGCAGGAAATCTGGGTGGAGTTCTTGGTTCCTGACTTCAGTCTGGTTCAGCCTTGGCTGTTATGGGCATTTGAGGAGTGAACCAGTTCTTTTCCCTTCAATAAGTAAATAAACACAAAATTTTTATAAGTCAAAGTCAGTGTTGGATCCAGTTGTGTGTCTGCAGCAGGAAGTTCACAGCTAGAGTGAGACCCGGCAGTGTTGCGTGTAGCCTGGAAAGACCCTTTCAGCCGGGAGGCGGATGTCACCTGCTGTCTCCAGGGCAACATGGAGCCTTCAGCTCTATTTGTGGCCAAGACAGAGGAACCAAGGGACCCCAATTTCCTTGGCTAGCAACAGACAGCATGAAATTTTTCTGAAGCCATTTGTGCGCTTCAGTCAAAAACGTGGCTTTTGACCCTCCTCTTCAATGTGGATATTGACATGCATTTTCTGTCTTTTCCTTTTGTTCTGGTTCTTCATGTTTTATTTGCTAGCATAATATAAGCATACCTTGAACACATACTATTCTAAGATGATCACATTTAACATCTTCCTCCTGGAAAGTGGTAGATGCAAAATAAACAGATGAAATGCTTTGATTTCTCCCACTAGTCCCTAAGAGAAGTGGGGGAGGTTTATTTTTATCAAAGGCCATTAAATGACAGAACAAGGTTAATTACAACTCACATGTACCTTTTGCTTCAGAGCAAGAAGCCTACACAGTTCAACTAATTTTATTTTAAAAATTAAACACAGGGAACAAGTGCTTTTCAATTAAGATAAGAGAGTAAAAATCAATTTCGTTTCCCTCTTTTGGCTCCCTCCAGGCAGAGGGGAAGAGAAAAGGAACAGATGGAGTCAGCAGAGATGGAAATACAGATAAGTGGGATCGGTGGAAAGGGCCATGGGATGATAGAGGGTGAAAAAAGAAATGCAGGAATGCAATAAAGAAGTAAGCTGGGATGAGGAGAAGTGCAAAGAAAAGTAAGGACAGGAGTTCAATTGTTTTTGAGCTGAGTCCCAGGGAGGACTATGAAAGTGCCAGCATCTTATCCATCTCCTATTAACAAGCCCAGGAACATGGCACAGGAGAGGTTGAGACCCTCTGCTTTGTTGAAGATCCCTGTTACTTACTGGGACTATGGGGCTACAAGGATCATTTTCTGTCCTTTCCATTCTGCCAGCTGTCAGGGTGCCCTTCACTATCCTCTTCCACAAATCCTCTTGCCATCTGTAAACCTCTGCCCATCATGGTCTAAATAAAGACTGCACCCGGGATCTAAATTTTCCTTACTTGCAAAAATATCACGCACGCCAATGAATTCAATCAACCTTTTTACTCCTCTATTTATAAATATACTCATCTTAACCACTTTAAAAATAAAGAGAACTCTCCAACAAAACCCTGCTTTATCCCTGTATCTACATTCTTCCTCTTTCACAAACCAGCTTCTTAAATTATGTTCACAGGAGTGGGTCATGTGGTGCACTGGGTTAAATCACTATTTAAGAAACCTGTATCCCATATCAAAGTCCTGTATTAGTTCCCACTGCTCTATTTCTGATCCAGCTTCTTGTTAATAAGTCTTTGAGGCAGCAAGTAACAGTTTAAGTGCTTAAGTCCCTGCCACTTAGGTGGGAGATCTGAATGTAGTTCTGAGCTCTCAACTTAGTCCCACCAGCTGTGGACATTTGGACAGTGCCCAGTGATAGTGATTCTCTCTTTTCTCTCTTTGTTGCACAGGGTTTTCTCCTCATCAACCCTTCCCCCAAATAATCCATGTTAAGGGTAACGGTCACCTTTTGTCTCAGTATTTTTGAACAAAATAATGAAGTAAGTGGCCCAAAAGACAGAAATCTACTTCTCGTAGTTGTGGAGGCTGGAAAATCCCAGGTTTAAGGTTCCCTCTGGCTTCGGATGAGAGCCTGCTAATGTACAGGCAGCACCTTCTGGCTTCCCCTTCAGGAGTAGAAGGGCAGGAGGTCTGTGTCCCCAGGGCACTGATCCCCATCCTGGGGGCTCCAGCCTCTTTCCAAACATCCCATCCACCTTCCAGTGCCATCATCATCTTGGGGCAGGAGTTTGGGGACCACAAACATTTAGATCAAGGCAACTTAGAATTGCAGTTGATCCTAACCTCAAGACTGAGAAACAATGCAACTTATAGTTGCTTAATCCATTGATTTCACCCTCATTTGTCTTTGCCTCTCTGCGCACTGGACACCAGCAAAACTTCCTGTCTTAAAGCACTTTCCTCCTGTGTTCTGACTCCTGCTTTCCTGGCTTCTCTCCCTCACATCTGACAGCATTTCCTTAGCCTCTTTTGACAGCTCTTGTTTCTCAGATGATACCTTGCCTGGGAAGGTTACCCACAATCTCACTCCTGATTTCCTCTTTTTTTTTTTTTAGCCCCTTATAATCATGGGAAATATATATTCAGTTGACAGAAGTACTACAGAGATGTCAGTGAATCTCAAGTCTATGTTCAGCCCAGGGCTATTTCATTATCTCTGATTACAGAATAGGATCACCTGTAGGTTTCTACTCTTGATTATCCCTCAGGTAACTCTAGTCAGTTCCCCACACCAAAGTTACAAGACAAGCAACTGTCTACATTTCTTTTTTTTTTTTTCCTTCTATTTTATTTTTAATTTTATGGTACAATTCCATAGGCTCTGGGACTTTCTTTACCCCCACCCCATATTCCCTCCTCCCAACTGATTCCTCTATATTATTATAATAGTTTAGTCCTTCATGAGCAGTCGTAAGTCTACCGTTCTGCTATTTAAGTGTATCCTTACATTGCAGCTGTCTAAATTTCTAATGTCCCTTCTAAACTACTTCCAGCCCTGCATTCAGTCATCTACTGACAGATCCATGCCCCCTATGTTCCCTGCTTGGGCTTCACACTCTTGCAACACACAACACAGGACTGAATAGTTGAGGATAACACACAGTGGCAAGTTGTATGTGTGTGAGAAGGGCAGTGGGGGACAGGTGGATGGCAACAGTGTTGCTTTAAGGCTGCATTTAAAGAAATGAATGCAATATGGATCTGAGAAGCTAACTATACACAGAACAGATGTTGCATATTAAAGTGAGAGATCTGGGAATCCGAGGTAGTAAGTAATCCTGATCATCCCCTTTCCTGGCTGTGTGAGTCTGGACAAGTCTCTTAACCTCTGAGGATATCAGTTAACTCATCCATAAAAATGAGATTAGATTCCTAAAGATCTTTGAATTCCTAAAATGCACACTTCCAGGGTGAAGAGGATTCATATTTCATTCCATATTCATTCCAGTCTGCCATCTAAAAATATAAGAAAGAGGGGCTGGTGTGTGTCATATGGGGTAAAGCTGCCACCTGAGATGCCAGCATCCTATATGGGTGCCAGTTCAAGACCTAGCAGTTCCACTTCTGATCCAGTTCCCTGTTAATGTGCATAGGAAAGCAATGGAATATGGTCCAAGTGGTTGGGCCTTGGAACTTATGTGGCAGACCCAGAAGAAGTTCCTGGTTTCTGACTTTGACCTGGCCTAGCCTCAGACATGGCAGCCATTTGGGTGGTGGACCAGTGGATGGACAATCTCTCATTTCCTTTCCCTATGTCACTGTCTTCCAAATAAACAAATGTTTTCAAAAATGTAATATAAAAATTGCAGTTTCTCACAAATGTTGCATCGCAGTTCTTCCCACAATCTTTTGCTCCTCTCCATGAGCAATATCTTCTGGGTTTCTGGGTCTGTAGTAAGGCTAGTGGATTCAGGGACACCTGTATTTCAGCTACCATCTCCCAGGCTTATCTAAGTCTCACAAAAACACAAGCAACTGCATGCATTTTCTAGTGTTCTCACTGGTTGCTGATGTGAAGTCATGGTGCAAGAAGTGGAACATGAAGCCAGGGCGTGGGTATGTACTGGCAGTTTCCCTGGCATGCACAGCACTTGCACAGGCTTGTGACTGCATGACCCCCCATTTACAGAATTCAGTTCTCCAAAATGACTAGTGAACTTTCCAGCTACCTGATCCTATACTTCACATACACTGTCCCCAGCTGACAGTCTCAGCTCAAGGCCACAGAAGCCAATCTGCAAAGGTAAGTCTTGACTAGCATTCACACTCTACCCTGTGCAAATAATATGCTGCTACTCACATCAAATGTGTAACCATGATCCCCACAGGGTTCAGTATCATACTTGAATTTGTCAATGATTGAACTTAAGCATCATGGCTAGAAACTGCCTTTAGGTCATGGTTTTTGACTCTGTACATTATAATCACCTGGGAAATTTTAAAAACTCTACCCATCTCCACTCTTTTGCCCTCAGAAGCCTGATTTGATCTGGGTCCACTTAATCCACCAGAGAATTTTTTTTTCTGCTGGTTATTTATTTGGAGAGCGGGAGGGAATGTTTTTTTCTCATGAAGTGATACCAGAATTAATGACTGATAAAAGGGGCAAAACTGACTTACCTATCCTCTGACCCTGTATCTATCATATGTATAGACAGATGGACACTGCCACTATGTCAAGAATTATAGAGACCAGGATAAATACTTGATTCCTAGTAACAGGTTTACTAGATTCGGACTTTATAAACTCACATGGAGAATTTAAACCAAGCAGGCCAGTATTGTGGATGGGCAGTTTATGTCACTGTCCAGCAGTTTAAGCCGCCACTTACTATGCAAGCATCTCCTAGGAACAATGGTTCAAAGCCTGGATGGTGCTTATGATCCAGCTTCTAGGTGAAGTATCTAAGCCCCATGCCCATTTTTTTCCAACAGGCTTGCACAAACAAGGTTTGTGTTATATTTAAGAAAACACAACAAAAATAATACTAGGCATTCCAAAGAGAACACAACCCTACCTGCCTTCCTAACCAGGAAGGAGAAACTGGAATATCAATAAGGACAGGAAGAATAGCTTAAAGTCTTCCTTAAAAACCAAAACAAAAACTTTGTTTAGAGGTGCGGTATTGGTTACTACTGCAAAGGAACCCAGGCATCAGCAGTTCTTGCCAACACAACTGGAAAGGGTCTTCAAACAAATCCTTGAAGCAGATATACCCATGAGACCTAATACTCTTGCTCTCTGCACCGTTCCCTTGCTACCCCTTCTTTCACTGATTAAGGCCTTGTTGTGCCACTGTGCTAAAACAGCATGCTAATGGATGGCTTCCTTCTAGAGTTCTCATCTGCAAGAATGGAAGCTAAGCTGAGCATCTTGAACCATACAAGGGAACAGGAAGGCCAAAGCAAGTCCTACTTACCGGAGCTGGAAGTCTTTGAGCTTGGTGACCAGCAGTTTGTAGTGGGCACCCAGTGGTGCCATGGATGCCACATCCACAAATATCAGTTGTGTCAAAGGTCCTGTCTCATTGGTTGCTTCTGAGGGACATAAGGTGCGGCTCACTTGCTGGTAGTTGTAGCTCTTCTGGTATCTACAGTCAGTAAGAAGAGAAACTCAGGGCAAGAAAGAGACTCAGTGGACAAGCAGGGAAAGAGGCCTATGTCAACTCACTGCTCTCCAAATTTGCTTTCAAGTCCTTGCATCCTTAATTTCAGAGTAGACCTTTCAATAATAATTTCTATCACCAGTTATTACAGATCTGTATGACAGGTCTGTATGACAAAATAATAGGGACTGTTTGGGGCTGACCAGTTCATTTACATAATGTATATGTACATACTCATCCATCTTCCTAATTCAGTGGAAAAAAATCAAATTTTGAACTCCTGATAAAAGAACCAGTTCATTCCATTTTTATTCCATTTCAAGCTTTTTCCAAAATAGACAGGGAAGAAAATTTCAGAGTTAGATTTAAGGCCACCAGAGTCACTATGTCAGCCCTCAAATTCCTCTGGACAAACACTATAACCCCACACTATATACTCATGCGTGCATGCCTTTAAATAGGTGTCATTATGTCTTTTGCAGTTCCCCCCTGCAAAAACATAAACTTTAAAAAGGAGAAGGATTTCTTTGTCTATCCACTGCTATATGCCCAGCACCCACCATTTAGTAGAGCTTAATACATAGGACTGAATGAAGAACACATGCATGAGGGACATTTAAAGCATGGTGAGGTATCATTCATTTATGTTTAGTGCTGGCCCTTGTCTTCTGGATGGCTACTGGACAGATCATTATCTAACCAAGAGTCACAGAGCCTTCTGGCAGAATTGTTAAATATCCAAAGTCTTCTAGGGTGTGCAAGTCTAGGTAGAGTGCTCATCTGAAATTTAAAGAGGATGGAGAGTGAACAAAGCTGAGCCTGTTAGGGTCTGCACTGTTGGCTGTAGGCAAGTATAATCTGTCAACAGTCCAAACATCTGATTTCTCCTTTCACCAGGGATAAAGACTCGATTAAGCATCAAACACTGAAGAAAACCAAATGTCATGAAGTTGTCTGAGAACAGATTCACTTACAGTCCTTGGAAGGGCAGAGGCACCTGCCAGGACAGCACCTGTTTCTGCTGGCGCACTACGACGAGCACTGGGTAGTCGAGGTTCTCAGAGGAACTGTTCACGTGCACCCGCACGGCAGTTACCTGTGTGGCAGGGCAGAGAGATTCAATGCAGTTGCTGACACTTAGGCTTAGAGAAACTTCGATTTCTTATGCTAGATCATCCAGTTGTCCCAGTTGTTTTTCCTTATTTGCATGGGATCAGAGGGTTGTCTCAATCTTGACTACACTTTCAACTACCCAAGCGTATTTACAACTGACACCTGGATCCAACCTGCAACAATTCCCATTCTGTTGTTGTTGGTGAGGCAAATGATGGAGCCTTCCAATGACACCCTGAGAACTGGCACTGAGCACTTAATGGGAATTCCTGAGAGTTAAGTTCAGAGCAGAAAACACAGTATCTATGTCCTTTGCTTACACCAGTGCTTACACATAAATGTGGAAGATACAAACATCTCACAAAGTGAACCCTCACCCACACAAAGCTAACGCTCTGCAAGACCCTCTATTGCTAACACACTTTACTTTGGGTTTGAGGAATCACTTTGCGTATCACACCAAAATGTCCTGTTTGAGGCTGACGGGTGATCTGATGCCCACCACAACAGTAAACCCTCTTTGTGTGCCTACAAGGCCTGTTTCAGTATATAAAACAATGCCTGACATAAAAGGATTTTTCAGAGGCTGCCACCAGATCATGTCTTGGCTGCTCCACTTCCAATCCAGCTCCCTGTGTATGGCCTCAGAAAGAAACAGAAAATGACCCAAGTATTTGATCAACTGGCATCAGCCTGGCCCAACAGTGTCCACTGCTGCCATCTAGGGAGTGAAGCAAAGGATGAAAGACTTACTCTGTTTCAAATAAATAAACCTTACAAGAACCTACTTTTTTTTGTTTGTTTCATATTAGGAAGCTCCATGATCTCCTCTGACTACCCAGTCAAGCAAAGGTTTAGGCTTCTCATGAATATTTTAAAGACAGAAAATGTAATTAAGGCCCTGGATCAAGAAGATTTTGGTGTGTTCCTTAAATATCACAGGCAACAGAGGGGAGGTCAAAATAGAAAAAAGAAAAGGTAAGAAAGAAAAAGTTTAATCTTCTGTGTGAGAATTTCTTCCTTATTGCCTTCATGTGCTCTTCAAAGCCCCTTAGTTAGGGGAAAGCAATCAAGAAATCAAGAATCCTGGAATTAAACCTTGAAGTTCAAAAATGGAAATTCAGAGGAAACAGAACATCCTGGAAATCATATTTTACTATTTGGTTTTCTTAAAGCATTTTCTTTGACCAAGCTAAAATAGTCCAGGATTAATTTATTAATTTGCTAAGAAGTTCTTGCTCATGAGGAGGGTGTTCTCTTATGCATATACTACATGTGTTTCCATGGAAATGGTGCAGCTGATAGTTGCCAAAACCACGTTCCTAGTAGAAACCTAAAGAACTTTTGTTAAGCCTGCCTCCCAGACACCATAATTGGATCAAATCTCTAATCCATTAGCCATTGCTATAAGATTCAGAGGATTACACCCCTTAATCCATTAACATTAAAGGATTTAATCAATATTTAAAGGTTTGAGGGACCATGACTCTAACACATGGATCTTGTAGGACACCCTATTTCCCAAATTGTGACCTCTAGGGAACCGCTGACTCCATCTTTGGCATCTGTGATGACTGGCAGAAGTAATTCGCTTGGAAGCTGGTTCGCTTCTGAGGCTGCAGTGCTGATATGACCAGCATTACATACAGCATGCATTTTGGGAGCTCAGTTCAGTGTGCCTCAAGTTTACTGCAGTAAAACCTAAGGTGAAACTAAGAAAAGCCATGACCTAGGCAAAGTTCATCTTTGGCTTGTCTGCTTCATTTTTCTCACCTAGGATTCAACCTTCTCAGCCCTTATCAGGGACTCAGCATCTCAATTTTGTCAGCGTTTGATGTAAGATAATAATTCCCAAACTGACTATGCCTTTTAGCAATTCAATCTCTCAAGGCAGCCCCTAGTGTTTCTGATTCAGCCAATCGGTAATAAAATTCAGAGATGTGCATTTTCAGCCAGAATGGTAGGGTGTGTACTTGGGTTTGACACACTTTGGGGAGTACTGTTCCAAAGAAACAGATGAATGGATTTTTAGCATTTTAGCAACAGTCCATCATGGTGGGATGCACAGCTGTGAGATTCCCCAGCCTTGTTGCCAACTGATGTTTGTTGGAACCCAGGCTGGACCAACAGAAAAGCTGTATCATCCTATCATCCTCATGCTCATTCCCACTCCACTGTTCACCTCCTCTAACTGGATCCCTGGTCAGCTCTCATAATTCACTTACTCTTTGGTTATTTAATAATGACCTTATTGGTCATAACAAAAACAAACTCAGAGATACTGGCATAATAAATTGCAAAGGAAATATCAGAGTGGGAGACAGAAGACAGAAGCCTGTTTTTTTTTTTTCACATGAACAGATAATGTATTAGCCCCCAGGAAAGGACAAGCAGCTCTGCTCACAACTTGCTTTGCCTTTCCAGAAGCTAATGAGCAGCTAAGTAAATTGGGTTACACTTGCAGCAGTCAAGTAAGCTCTAAATGCAACACAAAACACAGAAGTTTCAACTGCGCTTAGCAGACCATGTCACCCTGTTACAAATCATTCTTGAGAGCTAAGATTTTTCCTCCTGTTGCTTCTTCCGTTGTCATGACAACAGGAACACTTTCATTACAAGTTTCCTCAATGAGGGAATTGCAGTATAGCTAACAGAATCATTTAAGTACTTCCATCTCTGATATTATGTTATAGATCTCAATTCTGAAAACGTATTACCGCTTAGAAACTCTCCTTTTGAACCTTTTAGAGGGGATTTGTGTTTGTGTGAAACAAAATTGAAAGAATGTGCATTATCCATGAACTTCTGAAGACTTTTTATTTATCTTTAGTAAAACACACATGCATGGAAAATATAAACAGCAAATTAAGAAATTAGGGCCTGGCATAGTAGCCTAGTAGCCAAAGTCCTCACCTTGCATGCACCAGGATCCCATATCAGTGCCAATTCTGCTCCCAGCTGCTCCACTTCCCATCTAGCTCCTTGCTTGTGGCCTGGGAAATCAGCAGAGGATGGCCTAAAGCCTTGGGACCTTGAACCCACGTGGGAGACCCAAGAAGAGGCTCCTGGCTCCTGGCCTCAGATAGGATCAGCTACAGCCATTGTGGCCACTTGGCAAGTGAACCAGCAGACAGAAGATCTTTCTCTCTCTCTTTCCTTCTCTGTAAATCTGACTTTCCAATAAAAATATCTTAAATAAATCAAATTTATTTATTTATTTTAGTTTTTATTTGAAGAGCTGGAGAAAGAAGCAGAGAGACAGAGAGGGAGAGGGAGATTTACTCCCTACATGGGTGCTGGGCTGAAGATAGGAGTCAGGATTCCAACCGAGTTTCTCACGATGGGAACAAGAATTCCAAGTACTTGAGTCACCAATGCTTCCCTGCAGGAAGCTTGATCAACAGCAGAGCAGGTGACAAGCATTCTGACATGTGATGGGAGTTTCTCAAATACTGTCTCAACGGCTGTGACAAATGTTCACCCCATTTCTCGCGCTCTGAGGAATCTGAGACTTCCTCTCACTCACCACAATTGCATCAGACTAGGAGAAGACACAAGTGTCTGGGTTGGAGAAAAAAAAAACCTTAACATCCCAAATTGTACTTACCTTGGCCTCATGTAGCAAATGTTGCAAATGGTCCCAGCTGGATGCCTATGTGCCTGTACTATGGGAGAGGAGCCTAAGCTCAAGGAATTGAAGCCTTTTTGATGGAAAGAAAGCCTGCTCCAAAGGGGGAGGTGATGTGATGTCTGAGGTTATTCACTATGTAACTATCCTTAAAGGACAGAAAAAACTTCAAAAAATGCTTTCCTATAACCTATGTAGAAACCAAGAAACACATGAAAGATTGTCTCCTTCCAATAGTTACTCTAGAGGATGAAAGATTCTCTAGATGTTTGTCTAGATCTGACCTCTGGTCAGAGTAAACAGAAAACAGTCTAAGTTTGTTATGTGAGCTGAATATTAGATACATTGGTGTGTGTTACATTGTCTTCTATGGTTGCTGATAATGTCTAAAATAAGTCATCATCATAGTAAAAAAGAAACCACAATTTGCTGATCTTTATGCTTGTTACCCCATTTTACACAGGGATGTGGCAAACATGTAGACCCCTGATCACGCTCTATTTGCTCATTTTCCATGGTCTGGATTTATTCTACTGTTTGACCTGCTTATGCCAACTTCATTTTTAGAGCTTCTCTCTCCTTTCTCACTCACATATACAAATAGAAACTGTTTTTCAGCACATGGAGCTAAAGAAACAGTGTTAGTGGGGTCTTTTTTTGTCTCAGTCACTCAGTTGCAGAGCTTGGAACTTTCTTTGGACTTACACATGGTTCATGTGTGTTGCTGTACCCTAGAAATGACACAGTTAGGGAACCAGGAGAAACATGCTACACTGAACAGTGGTTACTTAGATTCTGTGTTACTAGCATCATTTCCTAGGCTTGCTGTAAGAAAATCATAAACTGGGCCTGGCGCGATGGCGCAGTGGTTAAGGTCCTCGCCTTGCATGTACGGGATCCCGTATGGGCACCAGTTCTAATCCCGGCGGCCCCACTTCCCATCCAGCTCCCTGCCTGTGGCCCCGGAAAGCAGTCAAGGATGGCCCAAAGCTTTGGGACCCTGCACCCGCATGGGAGACCCGGAAGAGGCTCCTGGCTTCAGATCAGCATAGCATCGGCCGTTGCGCTCACTTGGGGAGTGAATCATCGGACAGAAAATCTTCCTCTCTGTCTCTCGTCTCTGTATATCCACCTTTCCAATAAAAATAAAATAAATCTTTAAAAAAAATAAAGAAAATCATAAACTGAGTGAGTTAGAATGTAGTGAAATTACTTTCACAGCTGTGGAGGCCAGAGCCTGAGGTCAAGGTATGTATAGGCCATGCCCCAACACTCTGGGTAGAATGCTGTCTTGCTTCTTCCTCACTCCTGCTGGTAGTGACATCCAAGACATTCCTTGGCTGCTTGCAGCCACA